AACCCGGAGTCGAAATAAATCAGTTAACTCTCTGGCTTGGCGGTATTGATTTCTAATTGTGATCAAATTTTTATGTGACGGAATAAAATTTGGTGCATTAAATCTTAGAAATGGTTTTAGGCTATGGCTAGTGAGGAAATCAGTGTTATCGATGTAACTCACAGTGAAAATATACAGAAGAATTATGTTCTTATCAATGATCCTATCAATATTAATGATATTCCGAACGGGTCTTTTTGTTTAGCTCGACAGCAGAAGGCATATAATTTCGTTCGCTGCCAAATTGTTGAAAAAGTAAAGCTTTGCATTGCATAAAATAAAAAAGGGAATATTGATGCATTCAATTAATTTATATTTTCTAATCGGTTATATAATGATCGCAGTCAGTTTTTCTATTATTTAATGAAGCATCTACAGATAACAGTTTCTTTATTATACACAAATATTATTCTTTACTATCATTCCAGTTTTCTTTTAGCGGATTCAATTACAGATAACGGTTGAGTATTTAATTACAAATTCAGATGTTTCCAATAATGACCATTTCAGGTGTCTCCGCGTGAATACAATGTGTTGTTTGGTGATGGTAATGAGGAGATAGTTGATATATCACGTATTGCGCGAAAAGTTGAAGGTCGTTTACATATGTGGGAGGGAGTGCGCGTTTGTGCTTTATATGAGCCAAGGTAACTTCCTGTTTTTTCAGTTTGAGGCTAAATTTTTAAATTATTTTGAGTTAGATTTGTATTTCTTAAAGTACTCTCATTTTCAGACTTCAGTTTGGGCGGTACCGAAAAGCATTTTATTCAGGGATAGTAGGCGTTGGACCGCACGGATTTTCACAAAATGAAATGCTGGTATTTTTTTATACAAAGAAATTGTAAGGATGATTCCAATAACTATTTAAAAGCTGAGTTTTTGTCTTCCTATCTTTCCAATTTTGTTTTTTCCTTGTAGGTATTTTTTGATAACGGCATTGACAGTTTTGTTCATGAACGAACAGTTTATATGCTTGCAGAACAGAAGTGTAGACTTCATAATTGCAAAGAAGTGAGTTTTTGTTAAGAGTTGAGAAGTTATTTGTTTTTATAAAATTTTTACTTCATTTCGATCCTTTAAGCCAGTGTATTTTTTAGCTAGTTTTCTATCAAGTTATCCTTATGAAATATTATATATATATATATATACGATTTTGAATTTGTGATAAATCAAGCATAAGTATCCCTAATTCTTAAATGTTTTCACTGGTGGTAGATTGATTCTTTTGAAGAAGATGGAGGTTATGTTTGTATCATGCTATCTGCATTGACATACACGCCGCTTTAATGACCAGGCTGTTAATATTTTATGAAATTTTTATAGGAAATAGATCGGCGCAACAATTGGTGCCTAGTACCACAGTTTCGACAAAAGTTTGTTAAGCATTATTTGAAAAATTTTCCGGATTGGCCGCTTGTGCCGATGAAACGTAAGGAAAATACGCAGCGTGTAAACGTAAGATCATTAGTTTGTGTGCAGTAGTTTGGTCGTTATTCATTTATGAATCAGTTAAAAAACTCGAGCAAAAATTTTTTCCATTTTGGAAAATATTTTCTTCAAGAAATTTTATCCACGAAGAATATTCCTGGAAAAAGCAAATAGACGAAACAAATGTTTGGTTTTATTTTATAACGAAGATAAATATTGTTTGCAGATTCTTCGAGAGGGTAAACCTCATTCTGCATATGTTTTGCGGACCGAAAGACAATTCGCATTGCTGCGTTTTCCAATTCGTAATAAATGCGGCTCAGACTGTGTGGCAACTCCATGCAATCGTCATATTCATATAGATGAATGGATTTATCGTGGCTCAGAAAGATTAGAAGCAATCCGTCAAACAATTGATGTAAGTAAAATAATTTAGAATTTAAAGATTTTGAAAATTTTAATGAAATTTTAAAACCATTAATATCCATTACAGTTATTTCATATTTCTAGAGACTGGAAAAAATCGAGCAACAAGAGAAAATGGGAATTTCGGCAGTTCCAATACGTTCCAGACGAGAAGCGCGATTAGCTCACAATTTAGAATATATACTTCCGCTACCGGGACAAAGTATCTCATATATGAATTTAAGGTTTAAAATTTGGAGATTTTTAAGAGAGCGAAAATTGATTTGCACTATTTCTCTTGAAAAATAAAATTTGCTACTTCAATCTGTTTTCTTTATATTACTATCATTCCTGAAATGCTTTATTATATTCAGCAAGGAGATGAATCTTTGTCCACGTGGTCGAGCTTTACTAAGTGACAATGAACCGGTAAGAGTTATTAATTGTTAATTTTTCATATTGTCATCTTTTTCTGACAATCCATTTGTGTCGTTTTTAAAGTTTTTTATTAAAACTTTCTTTCAGAATTATCCCAGACGTCAAACGGCTCGAAAAGGAGGAGTACTAGCCGTGCAACAGGAGAATGATTATCAAGATTGTTCAGGTATTGAAGGAAGAGTATCTCGCCTACGGAAAGAGGTTTGCAATGATTAATTTATTTAAATGCTATAAATTAAATAGATGAGGAAGTGGTATTTTAACGCTTGTATATGAAGTATGAATTTAGAAAATACATTTTATTTTCAAAAATCGATCTCAAATTATATAATTTCATCCAACTTCAAATGCATTCATTTCTTTGCGCAGAAGAATCTTACTGTACAAGATATACCGGAATGGAACAGCCTGCAACAAGTGGTTCATTTGCAATGTTCGGTCAGATGTTTACAACGTCTAGATAAGGATCCATATGATAAAGAATTTCACGGCTATTCTCCTTATATGATTCCTCTTCTAGTGGGTTGGTCACGTGAGGTAAGCACCGCATATTTTCAAGTTTATTTTTTTTTAACTTTATTATTTCTATTTCAAATTTTCAAGTTTATTATTTTATTTTATTCCTGTGACTTAAAAAGAACAAAATTAGGTTAGGAATATATAAAAGATAAAAAAGTCTTGAAACGATACTTTGGTTTTCTTTCTTATATCTGTTTTAAAAAATTCATTACTTTTCAATTTGAGATTTGGAACTTGTTCGTACGTAGTCAGTATATTATTGAATATGTTTCAAGTCATTTTTAGATTTTATTCTTTCGCAGATTGTAACATTCACGAGAAAGGCTAAAGTAGCGCATAGTCGTAAAGCAACTAGTTCAACAGTGGTTTATCGCACACCGTGTGGAATCTATATCTACAGATTGGATCAGATTTCGAAATATTTGAAAGTATAGTTTTTCTGAGCACTGTTTTTATATTAGTGAAATACTGTGACTAGCTGCTACTTAATAAAGTGTAGTATAGCAGTATTTTTGTAATGAGTCAGTTTTATTTCACTTTCTATTAGGTTTCCACTAAAGATTTAATTTCAATGCGACTTCTTTTTTATGTATACATCAATTAATTTACAGTAGTAGATATTTTAGATGAATCAAAGAAAGTAGTGGTTTAAATAAAATTTTATTTATTTGAGGGCAGGATTTCTTTTCCTGTACTTTTAGGATACATCTAGCCGCTTAACAATTGATTTGTTTACATTTGATCGAACAGTTCGTCCGAATGTAATTTATCGTACACCAGTTAAAGCTAAGCTAATGGATGATTTTACGAATGGTTATGAAGCTATTCCAATTTCTGTTTATAATGAAATTGATGATGAATTACCACCAAAAGTAAACTTTTTTTTTTTCATTGAAACTATAAATGTTACCAATTCATACTTCTTCCAGAATCTCTTTCTCTTTTATGTTTCATTGGTCCCATTTCCTTAGTAGAATTAATTCATCAATACAGAGAAGATTTTTTATATTCCCAGTTTCCGAAAATACGCTTGGAACAATAATGTGGATTTTTTTATCATTTTCATTTTTTGCTTTCTTTAGATACTAAACTACTTATAGTTTTAAAATATATTTGAAACCCTAATTTTTTTTCCAGATTGAATATTATCCACGACGATATCCGTATGATAAGGAAACAGATGTATTATCCATATCGCTTGATTTTTGCAGCGGATGCACTTGCACTGGTGATATTTTGTAATTTATTATTTTTCCTAAACATTTGAAAAATTTTTTCATCATTAAAAAAGCTTCTGACAATCATAAATTTGAACACCATGGAAAGTCTCATAAAATTTCGTGTTATTGTTTTTCTTTTTTACTTTAATCAGATGACTGTGCGGATGAAACTCGATGTGAATGTCGCTTATTAACCCGTTCAGAAGTATTACGTTTGGATAAAAGTCTTCAACCGTCATATGCTAAAGGATATATGTGAGTAAAAACAAAAAACAAGAAATCATTTGTATTTTAACACTAGTTTTATAAGGCTTTGGAAGTCTTAAAATTTCATTTTGTTTTTTATTTTGAAAAGCATAAATTTTAATTTACTTTGCAAAATAACATTTGGCGCGCTTTTTTTTGTATCTTAATAACATTACTGTTGTTTACGTTTATTGGCTGGTATAATTGATACTCTCTATATCTTGTCGTGGGAACCTTCTTGTACAGTTAAATAGTAAGTTGGTACTTCGGTTAATTTAATAAGATTTTTTTAGGTATCGTAATTTGGCACTTGGAGGTACTGATGAGTCTTACTTGTCAGGTTTATATGAATGCAATGAAAAGTGTGGATGCAGTCGGCGTAACTGCCATAATCGAGTAGTGCAGCAACAAATGAAAATTCCACTTGAGGTTGTTCTCTCGATTATCTGTTAGATTGACTCGTAATAAATGCTAGCTACATTGTTGAACCATGATTTCTAAAATTTTACAACTGAACGTAATAACGATAACAAAATATGGATTTTAGTTGCCAGAGAAATTATTGTGACTTTGTCGGCAATCTGATAGGGTATGTGTGTAATTGTTGTAAAATTATGGATTGAATTTCATTCTTACTGAAAGCACATATTAGCTTATACTATGCTTGTCGATCTAAAGAAATAATAAGCAATAGAAAAAAATAATTGATTAATCGATATAGAGGGAGAACTTCCACGTCATTTAATACCAAATTTCTGTGAAACTTGTTATTAAACGGGAGTGCTCCGTCGGGTTTGTCATTGCTGGCTGTATCAGTCTCAGATTTTGTAAATTGGTACCAAATGAAGGCACTATGATTCATTATCAGTGATTTCTTCACGAAGTGTAAAGGACCCAGATATTAAACAATTAAATCATCAAAAGGATCTCAGGTCCACCTCATTTTGGGAAGATTTCAGAAAATGGAACGAAATAATTCGAAATCAGAAATGCTAGACAATCTATAATAAGCTAATTTCCATATTTTTAGCACAGGACTGATTATGTCAATTTTCATTCATTTGTCAAATTGATGAGTGCCTCCTCATCATTATTTTATCTATTTGTTCAGAATATAACTCGGATTACTTCGTCTTATGTTCCTAAAGTACGAGTGATTGTTTACGACTAATCTTTATTTATTTAATCATTGAATACAATAATTTTTGGAACTTATATTGCTGAAGAGTATTTTAGAAACTGTGAAGTCTGTATATTCTTAAACATATTCAGTTATTTAGAAACATTTTTAACTTGTTTCGGTAATTTCAAAGCCAAATTTAAATTTATGAAGCGTAACAATTATACTGAAACTTATGTTCATGCGTATTACTTTTAACAACCAAAATAGTATATATCTATAAAAAGAAAATTGAGGAATCAATTGGAAAAAAAACATAGATAAGATGTACATATAATGTATGTATGTATGTATTTCATAATTTCTAAAATAAAATATAAACAGAAATAACAGTTAAAACTGAAACTAATCAAAGAGTCGCAAGTGAAATCATAGAAGCGTCCTACTAACTTCAGTCCATTCGAAAATTAGAAGAATTTTAAGCATGTTTTACTAAATCCTTATCATTGTTGTTGATTTCAATTGTTTTGGCCCTAATTTATATTCATGTTTTTTTTGCAGCTGTTTAAAACAGAAAAAATGGGCTGGGGTGTTCGCTCGATGGTTGACATTCCAGCTGGTGTTTTCCTATGTACTTATACTGGCGCTATTCTTACGGACAGCCAAGCGGAAAGGGAAGGCAAAGCGGTTTCTTTTTTGAAATTCTATTTTCTTTTTTTGTTTCTCATCTTTATTCAGCGCATAAATCACGCAAGCTAGAGTTTTCAAGAAATTTTAGAATCTAAATGTTTTTTCTATATTATTTCAATAAATTTTTGTAGTTTGGTGATGAATATTTTGCTGATGTAAATTTGGTAGATAACGTTGAAAAGGAGAAACATAATGCTGGTGTTGATTTGGGAGATTTAAATGACGGTTATTATTCAGATGAAGAAAACAATTACGGTAAGATTTAATATTTTTGGATCAGTTTTAAAGATGAATTGTGAGAAGTGTTTGAAATTCTGTTATGTTACTTTCTTAAGGTGGCGGATCTAATTTATCAGTTGAAAATGAATTGATTACGATTAATGAAGATGCATGTGAGGAAGACGAGGATTATGACAGGTCAGAGAAATTAGTTATTTCTTTATTATTTTTATTGTAATATAAATGAGAGATTTCATTGTTTTCCGCAACGGCCGCTTTCTAAATAAAGAATAGCTGTCATTGAAATCTGAAAATTTTTCTGTTCCGAATTACAGTTTTTCTTTATTTATCGTAAGGTGTGTATTCTAGTGGCCAGGATTCGTCATTCTCTTCAGAAGGAAGTCATTCCGAGGCTAGAGCTGTAAAAGCGCAGAAACGTCGAAAACTTGTGCAAGAAAGTAATGAAGACCAAGGGAACTCAGCAAGGGAATCAGTAAGTTTCGTTTTCTTTTGAGAGCTGTGTTGTCTAATTTTCCAAACTTTTATGAATTATTTTCAGAGAAAGAATGAGCTGGCGGCAGCTGATCTGGATTATGCTCGTTCATCACTTGTTATGGTGGAATCAGATGTCTTTACGAGTGGGACGAAATCAGATAATGATGATATGCCAGCAGTTGAACCAGCAGGTACTGATCCGGCTTTTTTAATAGCGTTCATAACTTTCTATAGATTTGGCATTTCCGAATACAGGACAACACAATTAATTTCTAGTTTGTGATTTGAATTTCCCAAATTCATTTCCTTTAACTTTTGTTGATTTTATCATTCTATAAAAGTCTCGATTTAGGTCCACCCGAAGGTCGTTTCGATATGGTAAAATATTTTGAGAATATGGAACTTCCGTCACTGTACACAATTGATGCCAAGAAAAAGGGTAATATTGGACGATTTTTTAATCATAGCTGTCAACCTAACATTCGTACCCAATTGGTATATGTTGATACTCATGATTTTCGTCTACCTTGGATTGCGTTTTTTACGACAACAAAGATTTCTGCTGGTTCAGTACGTTGTTTCTGTTTAATTATTCAGGTTTTGGTAGTTTTTAAGAAATAAAACTCAAGTTCTATGGATAAGGTTTTTTCCGGAGACGCCTGATGAGAGAAAAATTTCGTCCTACAACTGATTTTTTTTTGTTTCATGTAACAAACAATTTTAATTAATTAAGAGTTAGTTCAATGTCGCATTCTTTATTGTAAAATTTCTTTCAAGAATTTAAATGAGAGTTTCACGTAAAACTAAAACTGCTCTTTTGTGCCTTCATTTTTAGGAACTGTTTTGGGATTATGGTTATTCGGAAGGTGCCGTAGATGGAAAGCAGCTCGAATGCTTTTGTGGGTCACGTTTTTGTCGCAAACGGCTTCTCTAAGCTGTTTCTTATTTGATAAATGACATTTCCAATTCGTTTTCAAACTATTGTTGATCTCGGGAAGTTCGGATTTAGAATTTCGAATTTTTTTGAATTTTTGTAAGTAAATAGTTTCTTGCTCTATATTGAATTACCAAATCACTCTCGGGAATCTACTTATGCAGATTGGAACAACATTTTGATGTACATGAAGTCAATTTTGTTGAAGTTTGTCTTGAAGATTAGCATAATTTTTTCTGGTTAAGAAAAAAAGGTGAATCGGATTTCCAGGACGAAATAGGTTCTTATTCAGACCGGTTCTCAGTCATCGTCTTTCAATATCATTTTACTGTCTTTGAACTTTTGTGTTTTTTTATTTTTCAGTGAACTTCAAAGTTTTTATTTGTGTCAGAAATCTCGATAATGAACAGCAGTTTGCATAACTGGACTGGATTAAAATCTAAAAGTACTTAACATTCGATAAAAAACCGAACCCCACTGATAATTAGAGGAAATCCGGATTTTTTGACGTTCAGATGAAATTTCAATTTTTCGCAACTCATTTTATCTTCATCGCAAAATTTCACGACAAAATTTCACGAAATACAGAGAGTTCGGAATAGATTTTGAGGAATAGTGGGACTTTTGTCGAATAATTGAAAAATTATCATATTGTGGAAAGTTTCATTGGAGCAAGTAATCTCGCAAGATTTTTTTCTTGTGAGATTCGTTTAACGTCTTGTGCCATCTTCAAAGAAGACACCACCATCCAAAGCGCAGTATTTTGGGCAAATACCGCGTTCCCCTTGTGGACCGGGATGTCCTGGTGGTCCTTGTTGTCCATCTTCACCCGGTTGACCTGGTTGGCCGGGTGGTCCTGGTGGTCCTTGCATTCCTGGTGGGCCTTCTGACCCCGGACGTCCTGCTGGACCCTGATCACCAGGCAGTCCTTGTGGTCCCTGCAACGATTGTTCTGCATTATCATTTCCAAATTCAATTTTGATGGTCTTTTTTTTTCTGAGCCAGAAAATTTTCCAAATTAGGGAAAATTCAGTGTACTTACAGGTTCACCGGGTGCGCCTGGATCACCAGGTGTTGCTGGTGAACTGATAGCTGGTCGTCCCGGCTCTCCTCTTGGACCTTCACGTCCTGGCTCTCCTAATGGTCCAGGTGGTCCTGGAGGACCCTGTGGTCCCGGTGGTCCGTCATTACCATTTCGACCTGGATATCCGGGTGGGCCAGCATTTCCTGAAATTAGCATAGAGATGCTTCATCATATCAATTTTCCTGGAAACTGGAAGGAATCAAGGAGGAGCAAGATAGAACCTTGATCTCCCGGGGGTCCTGGTGGTCCTGGTTCTCCTGGTGGACACGGTGAGCATGGTGGTTCGACAGCTTGTTCGCAAATTCTGAAATAGGCAGTTTTTGAAGTATGCCTCCAACACCTTTTTTGAGAAATAGTTTCAATACTTCGCAGTAAGGAGAACCGATCTGAATAATGAAAAGCTAACGCTGGAGGTCTTCCGGGAAATCCTGGCGCTCCAGGTGCACCTGGACGTCCAGGAACACCATTTTTGCCTGGAGGACCGTCTGGACCGGGAAGCCCTGGTAAGCAGCAACCTGGAAGTAATGAAATCATCTCTTGATTAATAAATATACTTTTTGAATGCATAATCCATGGTTTTGGAAGCTTGAATTTTAGAAGTAATGTTAATCTGCTGGAATATAAATTGAAAAGCTTGGAATTAGAATTACAGTCAGGCTTAAAATGCTAGATGACATTTCAAGAGTTTTCAGTATTCAATAAACTTAAATTTCTAAAATCAAAATGGACCTTCACAATAACTGCTTTGTCTCTTGATGCGACCAGTAACGAGAGTTTGATTGTGTAGAAGTTTTTGAAATATTGGTGTTACATGTCGGGGTCCTGCTCGATACTCATTCACTTCCATCATCACATCGCGAGCTGATAACTGTAAAAATGCATTTTGTTAATTTTCACTCGAATTATCACTTGTAATCATTTCAACTTACTGTAAATTGCATTTGTTCTTTTTTTCATTTTTGTTTTTGGTAATACAATGGCCAACGAATTTATTTAATTCCATTAACAGATGCGTAAAAAGATAAACAGTTCTCTTTATTAATCAGTTTGATGTTTAACAAAAAGTTTATGTTGAAAAGATTTCCCGATTGTTATCTGAGATCGATAGGCATAGAAGTTAAACCGAGTGAGCTAAACAATTAATGAATTTCTCATCCATAAGAAGATTTAACCCTTCATGGTACCACAAATATTGTTGCTATCAAATAAGTTTTGATTGAATCTTTGATCCCACATTTTAATTCCAGAGATGAAAATCGCTGGTTTGGAGTTAATGAGCCAATTTTTTAAATATATGTTTTGCAACATTGTCCATCCACGGTTTTTTCGAGTCTTAAATCTTCACAAGAAAAATGAAACTTTGCTTGTAAAAAATAATTTCTAGTAAAATAATCTGCTATTACCGTAAATTCAGGCTTTTATAGCTATAATATTAAGAGATATAAAATGAAGATGCCCGCTGAATTTGTACACTTAGAAAGCTCAACATTTTTAAAATTTTCGATTGCTTTATTGTCAAAGTATGCTTGAGTATTAATTTTCAAACGGAATTAGAGTTTTCACTCTCAAATTTTTCCTCGAAAATTGTTAGTTGATAATGAATTGATCGTATTATTATTATCTGCAACAATAATTATTACATTTACATGAGTAATTATCTGATAGAACGTTTTAGATGCGCAAATATGACTAACTAACTTCGGCCTTATCATTGCGCATTTTTTTTGCTTGCGAATATGAAATATTGGTATTAGTGGTTAATCTGTGGATCGAAACAAGAGGCTTTGATTCAAATGTAATTAACAAAGATAATTACCACTACTCAGATAAACTGGTCAGTAGAAAGAATGGGCGGATCCGCTCTTATCTCAACGAGACGTGTCAATTATCATAATTACACTATTCATCATGTTTATTTGCTCGTCGGTCTATATATTTGTTCACTGCCTGTCGAAATACATGCATTTCTCAAGATATATTGCCATGCTCTCTTTAAGAGAAAATTTAAATTAAAGTTTGCAAAACTCCCTACATATTTCCAACAATTTGTACAACAATTCTCTTTTTTTTGTCATTTATTGCTGAGAAAGAGAAAGAGAAAAAGAAAAAGAAAACGAAATTACGCACTTCGAAGCCTTTTTTGTTGAATTTTGAAAAGAAAATAATTTTGACCGATGTTAGAGAGAATCACATATGAGAGAATTAAATTGAGAAAGATAAATTTTAATGAATATTTTGAAGAGGAATATCATAAAACTGGATGAATTAACGATATAAATCATTCTTGTTAAAAATTTTTGTGAATGCCATTATATTTTTCTCGACGAAAAGAACTCAATCATACGCAAATATGAATGAACGGAGATTAATTTTTTTATAGATTGTAAAGCATACAATCTTGGAATTTGAATTACAATAAGTTCGGTAATCACTAAAAAAAAAAATATATCATCTATTAAGATAAAACTTTTTTAAACTGAAGTTTTTTTTAAATCTCACAAAAATAGATTGAAAGTGTTTCCTAACCAATAAGTCTGTAAAATTCAATATTATTTGTAATGAAGAAATCAAATTTTTTCCATTTGTTGCATATTGTGAGAATAGGTAAGCGAAACAGTAAAACAAATGCTAAGGATGAAGAAGACGTGCATTTGTTATCAATTAAATCTTTGCCTAAAAATCTTGATTCTTCAGTACATGAGGATTCTAGTTGGTCTTCATGCGAAGTTAAAGATTAAAATAAAAGAAATTGGAACAGGAACAAAAACAATAATTGAAAGATAAGTAAGTACTCTGAGAAAAAGTTACCTTACAAAATTCCATTTCCGATTCTACTCGCATGTGTATCGAATTGACATAATTGTTAACCATTGGTAGAGTGATAAAAACAGCCAGAATTGCAACAAATGAAAATGTCACCGCCGAGACTGTCACCAATCGATAGGCTTTCTCACGTATTTCCGATTCAATTAACATAATGACAGATTAGATCCAAATTTTAGGATCTAAAATGGTTAAACGTTTTAGGTTAAACGCTTTAAAGAGAGCTTGTTGAAGTGGCCGTTATTTAATTACCGAATGATAGTTCGGTTAACAAAATAGTTCTAAAATACAGAAGTTCCTGTAATTAATTAATATTCTATTATATGCTGTATTTGTATGTGTGCGTATATGTTGTGTATATGCATGCATGTAAGATGAGGACTAAATGAATTTGGCAAATTAGCAATTTATATATTGAAACCAAAAGGTTGACAGTGTTGTAGGAGGTGTTGTACGAGATATCCTTTTTTGAGGAAGAGTGAATGAACTCCGCCCTGAGGGCTTTTGAAGAAGAACAGAAAGAAAGGAGAAAAGTAGGAAGGAAAGAGGAGAATTATGAAGTGTTCGGTTGCGGAACACCAAAATATATTACTGCCTGTATCCTTTTATTCCCCTCATTTCCCTGCGGCGATCATACTATTAAATGCTGTCATTATCAGCAAGGAGAAATGTACGACAATGATAGCACTAACATTCCTGCCCATCTCATCCGTCAACTCGAAATATCCCCATCCTCCACTCTGTTCACTCTGCTGATCAGAAGAATTGTTTTGACAGCAACCTATATTCATGTTTCCTGCACATCAAAATTCTTCGTCACTTATCCTCTCTTAAGGTCAGAATGAGAAAAAGGTCATCTTCAAGCTACTTTTCTCAAAACCGGTTGACATGCAACACATAATACGTTATGTTTCAGAAGCATCTATCCAAGATCGTCACTTGCAACCAGCGGTGTAATTTAGTTTCTCTATCACTTCCAACACTTCAATAACTTATTAATTCTCATTCTATACATCAATATCTGACTTCTATGCTTTAAGCACAATTTCATCAATTATTTTTTCTAGCCATTCTTACTGCCAGTGGAAATGAAAATATCTCTCCAAATAACGGTTAAAATCATATCACCATTAAGATATCTTCATTTCGTTTATCCAAAATTATCATATTTAAATGTCGCTCATAAATTCACTCATATTTTTCATTCATATTTTTATAGAGGTTAATTTACAATTATTTTTAAAATTTTAAATCATTTGTTTTTTGCATCTGACGCTAACATAAGCAAAATATTGAACAGCGGTCAATTTATCAGGAAACCCATCTTTGTGCAGATTGCAAATGTACTTGAATGCATATTTTAAGGTATCCAATTAAAGTTCACATTTAATATAACGAGGAGCAATAAAAGGAATAAATATAAATTTCTTAAATCTTCCGCATTATTCATTCGATGATGGTTATTTTTGTTTTCTACACCAATGATTTTTTCTCGATTTACAATTTTAGAAGTATATTTAAGAAATCCAGTTTTCCACGAGATGAATTCTCTCTGTTATTGATGAAAGAAAAACGTTTATCTAAATTCCCTTCTTTCTCTTCCATAATGACTATCGGATGATAGCAATTATTTTTTTTTTATTAATTAAAGCAGAAATTGTTCGATCACCGTCAATAAGTTGTGCATTTTTTTTTCGTGATTTTTCTTTGTTTCACCACACCGAATTCAAATAATTCTCTAACATTTCACTACGGCTATAATTTTGTAATTTTTCCATTTTTGTTTTTTATAAAGATTTTTTTCCATTTCGTAACTTCATCTTTCAATTAATCTTTCATTACCTTTGTTGTTAAGAAAGATCTGAGTTTTGAGAAATTTTTAATAATTATTACAGTTTATTACTAGAAATTCAAATGAAAGGTAAATGAATAATTATAATGGCTGATTTGTAAATTTCAATCGTAACCCGAATTTTATATCAAAAAACATCTACCACTAGAAGTTCAACCTTCAAAGCTTAAAAATGCAATCTAACGACCGTTTCTCATACAATTTTAAATGCATTTGGGAATTTAAAAATTATGGAATTTTAATTAAATAATTAAAAAAGTTTGTCATCAGTGATTATTTCTTTACACAGTAAATTCCAGGAAAGATGAAATGAATTTTGTAATAAAAGTGTTAAATGAAAAATAATTCAAAAAAAACCACCAGTAAATTTTTGCATATTCTTGTAATTTTTTTTTCAAAAATAAAGATCTGCTGCATGTTTATTGAGCACATAAAAAACGTGTTAAAGAAACGGCGCAAATGTTGAATGTGACATGGAAGTATGAATGATCGGGTTGCTGTGCAAGAAAACTGCAAGCTTTCTGTGCGAATCATTTATTGATGGACTTCTTCTATTCATTTCTATATTATTATTTTTTTCAATTCTGTTACTCTTTTCTAAACAGGAGATTTAAAATGACAATAATTTCACTGCTAAAAATAACTACACAAAACTATTGGAAGAAAATTTCTGCTGTTCATTGAAAATTTCAGGAAATAACGAAATGCGAAGAATAATCCTGAAATAAAAAAATTGGAGATTTTTCTAATATTTTAAGAAAAGATCAAAAAAGTAAAGACTGTTCTTGCTTAAAATTATGGTACAACTATGAAAATTTTGAAATTGCAGCGAAATTTTAACAAATTTCAAAAAGAACCAAAATTTTGATAAATTTTGAGAGATTCACGAAATATATGACTTAATACTGCTTACTTAACGTCGTGTTCCATCCTCGAAGAAGACGCCACCGTCCAGAGCACAATATTTGGGGCAAATTCCCGGTTCACCGGGTTGTCCATGTTGACCTGGCTGTCCTGGTTCACCTATCTCTCCCTGACTACCTTGTTGCCCAGGTGGACCAGGTGGCCCGCGAGAACCGGGATTTCCTGGTTGTCCTGGATTTCCTGATGGTCCAATGTCGCCAGGTGCTCCTGGTTGTCCCTGTAAAGTGTTTATAGTTACAATTAACTTGATTAATTGCAAACTGAAAATTATAAGTTTGGCATCGTATAGGCTAAGAATGAGTCATACACAAACCTCTGTTCCAGCTGGTCCTGGATCCCCAGGAGTTGGTGGCATAGTGATAACTGAGCGACCTGGTTCACCAGGTGGTCCATCAAGACCTGGATTTCCATTAGGTCCGGGTGGTCCTGGTGGCCCTTGTGGTCCAGGACGACCTGGATTTCCCATACGACCTGGTTGTCCTGGTCGTCCAGATGTGCCTATATGAAAAATCGATAATCAATTTTATGAATATGATGTCATTTGTTTTGTTAATTTTACTCCATCGATCGTGTCCATTCACAAATCTTGAGTTTGGGAACATTGCTGAACAACAACTGAAAAAGTGATTCATTCGAATTTCTTTTGAGTTTGAAACTGTTTTTCATCGATTTGACGCGACGTGACGCATCGATCTTTCAATAAAAAACAAGGAAAAATATTTGCTGAATAAAAAAAACTGAATTGATTTTATTTTATAATTACTCAAACAAAAATATAATGTATGTCGTCATTCATTGCTTTAATTGAATTGTTCATTGTTATCGTAAACTGTTGCAAATACTATCAGAGATAAGGATAATCGTAATTGTTGTGCCTTTTATAAGTTATTTAAAATATCAAATCACACTCTTTGTTTTTGTGAAAGAGAGAAATGCATTGAATACATACAAAATTCTAATGTAATCTTTTAAACTTCATTCAAAAGACTCTATTTGTTTGCTATATGGTAGAAAGAAAAAGTGAAAAATTTTTAAACATGACAAATAGTCATCGAAAAATTCATGAATGAGGAACGGAATGACGCAAATAAGAATTGAAATTTTTTTATGAATAAACTGAAAAGATGGAGCGGCGAGATGGGGGAGTGAAAGAAACGTTCCGGTGGCATGACCGTTTCTGTGTATGGCAGTGATGTGTTATTATTTCCGATGATATTCACAGATAGAAGGAAATTGAAGAAAAACTCGTTTTGATTAAATTTACATTCAGATGATAATAAATCTCAACCCATTCATCAGTCTTTTAATCATCCTAAAAAGAATTATGGGATAATATTGAAAATCTGATTTTATAATTATAACTGCTGAATTCAGAGATATTTATTTAATGATAGGCAATCTCTCCGATCTGCTAGGGTCAATGTCCTTCGATGGTAGGTGACAAAAATTCATGCTGTAAATAATGTATGGTATGTTGCTTTCTATTTATTGTGCTTATTTGAACTTAATTTATGAAATCTTCCCGAAATTTTGAAGAAATCTAATCAAACCTTTGTCTCCGCTTGGTCCAGGCTGTCCTGGAGGTCCCGGTGGGCATGGTTTGCAAGGTGATGGTTCTAATTCCTCACATACTCTGCAAATTTTTAATAAAATCTGAATAGAACAGAATATTATTGAACATCGAAAAGAAATGTCAAGTGTTTTCGACATTCAAAATATTATTTTATATCTCAAAACATTTCACTTAAGAATACTACTACTCTGGTTGGCGATCAAATTTGAGATACTTCAATTACGAAACATTAGCAAAAACAGTTAACCTTGGTGGTCTTCCTGGGAAGCCGGGTGCGCCTGATGCTCCTGGACGTCCTGGCAGTCCTGGTTTACCGGCTGGACCATCAGGTCCTGGTAATCCAGGCAGGCAGCATCCTGAAGTTAAAAAAGAGAGAAGTAAATGAATGGAGAAAGTTAAAAACAAATTCTGGTGAATCTCAACGAATTAAATTTTCAAAAATTGTGACAAACCTTCACACCCAGCTTGTCTCTTAGCTCTTGTAACATTGAATGAATTTTTGATACCGCTGTCAACATCATGCAATGCGTCAGATGCATCAGACGGCGCACGATATTCACGCATTTCAAGTATTACTTCATGAACTGACGTCTGAATTGAAGTTAAATTTCAGGCTACTATCAATACTTTTCATTTTAACTTTTAATAACTTCAGATTATTCATTTGATCGACCTATTCGCTTGAAAAGCTGAAATTTAACAAAATCGGAAACTGGTCGACGGGTACTTAATCTTCCCTAAGTTTACCATCGAGAATAAATCATGCATTCGGATAGTTCGTATATCCGAATGCGCTGAAAAAATTAAGAAGTAGGGGGCAATTTGGAAATAAATAAAATGATTAATATTTAAATTCTGCAAATCTTTTGAAATTCAATATTTAAAAGGTTTTCTATTTTCAGTACCTGTCATTATTATCATTTAAATGTCTCATTATTAACAAATACTCAAATATATCATACCTGACAGTATTCCATTTCTTCGGTAACTCGAGAACTGATAATAGTAACATAATTGTTAACCATCGGTAATGTTACAAATATAGCTAAGATAGCAACCAATGAAAAGACTACCGCTGTATATGTTACAAACGTGTAAGCTTTTTCTCGTGCTTTGGTTTCCATCTAAAAGTAATTTAATACTTTGTTTAGAAATTCCACTTGATTGCCATCACAATTCAAACGACAGAATTCATTAAATTTATCTTAATTAGCGAAATGAAAAGGCGGTGAAATCTTCTGAAATGGAATGGAATAATTCTTTAGGCATACATCATTTTCATGTAATATTATAATTGCGGTTTGTGAGCAATTTTTATAGCGGCTTCTGGAAGTTTACACCCAATAGCATGTTTTTCTTTTTTTTTGTAATAAAAGCCAGCAATATTTTCATCGTTTTCTCCCATTCCTGCCTTCACTTCTTCCTCTCCCTGACCCGAATGTTCAGCCGGATACCGGTTTCACTTAAGAGAGCATCGAGGAGCACCGGGGTGGAGAAATTTTTAACTTGTAAACAGTTCCATTGCTGCAACCATTTTTTGACAATGCCATGCAATCGACTTTGTCATATGCGATTGGTATTGATGTTGTGATTGTAAAAGAAAAAAGATGTCACTAAAGAAGAGGACAAAACTGGACAATGGTCAGGGACACGAACATTAAGATGATGGAAGATTAGACAGCCTGAACTAGCGTAACTTGGCCATATGAATATATATTGTTTGCTGGATCGTAGCCCTTCTTCATTTCATATTATTATTGCATTACATTGTCCATTCTTTCGAATGATTTTCCGGAAGCGAAACAAAATTAAAACTCCAAATTCTTCAAAAAAAAAGATTTTTTTTGCAATTTTGCAAAAGAAAATCCAAATTAAAATCTTTCATTTATCTTTGAACCTATGACCTTTGCACTTTACTTAAACCATGGTTCAATCAATGCTACACTGAACGTAAAAGAGTTCTTTGCAATGGATTGAGAGCTGCTCTTTATTTCGAAATTCTCGGCTGGATCGTCAGTGGACACCTCGGAGAAATTCGGAGACGTCATGCGGGAAGCCTCCATCATCTCAAGTTACCTCACAGTGCGGTTCCCCGTGAACGAGATGGTGACCAGCATTACAATCGCGGAAGGTTCATTGTCATTTCGAAATTTTTGAACATGAGGTCACGAATCCCTTATGGTTTACATTAATCACTCCTTTTCATGTGCGCCAACTTTTATGGTTTGTTTCTGAAATGTTCAGAGGCAAAAAAAGCAACATCCATTGCAACATTAGAATTATGGTAGAATTTGATATCTCAGTAAGTTACGTGAATTGTCTCAGTCGTTTACGCGGCTGCGCTTCACCGTGCTAGGTCGTAAATTTTTAAAGCTGCTTATCTTTCTGTTTTAGTTATCGATTGTGCGATACTGGATGAAGCTAAGTAGGAAGGAATGATACGTCGTCTTCCGGAAGATGTTGTCAATCGTATCGCGGCCGGGGAAGTGATTATACGAGCAGCAAATGCCGTTAAGGAGTTGATCGAAAACGCATTAGATGCGGGCGCTACGGAAATCGTCATTACAGCTAAAAATGGTGGTCTCGATTTACTGAAAGTACAGGTAATAGAAAAGTAATTGAAGTTTAAAAACGCATTTGTATGCTTTCAAATGTTTGTTACTTTTTTTGTCGATGTACAGTCTAAGATTTTCTTAATATGTTAGTTGTTTCTGGTGACGGTAATTGTTGTTAGTTCTTTAGATATTCAGAAAAAAATTTTTCTTTCAGGATAACGGTAAAGGAATTGCCAAAGATGATTTACCAATTATCTGTGAACGTTTTACAACATCGAAGTTGGAAAGATATGAAGATTTGGAATGTATGAGCACATTTGGATTTAGGGGTGAAGCACTGGCGTCCATAAGTCATGTAGCTAAAATGACGATCATCTCGAAAATTCGGGATTCACCTTGTGCTTATGTTGGTCGTTATGCAGGTAATAATTGAGAATTATTATTTATATTTAATAAAAATTTATATTTAAAATAATTTTCTGAACGTTATCATTTTTCTTGTTTATTGGTCTCTTATCATATCCCATTGTCAAGAAACAAAAGATATCCAATGTGATTTTGTGTAGTGGTCCTAATTTTAACCATTCACTGCTCTAAAAGTAACAATATTATAAAATTTATTATACGCTGGTTACACTGATTTCAAAATATTGGCATGATTTAATAAATAAAATTATGATTAGTAACTGTTATAGATAGTCGGCTGCAGGGCGACATAAAACCATCAGCTGGACTTGACGGTACCACAGTAATTGCCGAAGATTTATTTTACAATTGTCCATCACGTCGTCGTGCACTAAAATATCCTGCTGACGAAATGAATCGTATTGCTGATATTATTATACGATATGCTATTCATAACGCGTGGGTAACAGTGGCTTTTATGGCGTTGGAATCTTACTTACTATAGATTTTGATAAATTTCGTTCATGATCCATTATTATTTTCAGATCTGTATCATTTACATTACGACGCTGTGGTAGTGGAAGTGATTTTCGAACAGCTGGTACTAATGATCTTTGTGGGACAATATCTTCATTACTTGGAGGAAAGTTTTCCAAAGTAACTTTTTTCCAAATCAAAATTTTCTACCTGAAATAATTTTATATTGCACTACAAAAATTATAAGTCTAAAATTTAGTTTATATATTATTTTAGGATCTCGTCTTATTAAGTCATAGTGATTCAGCGTTGCATTTCACTTTAAAAGGTTGTTTGGTACAACCAATCGCTTCATGTACTGCTGAGAGTCTTCAAGACCGGCAGGTAATTCGTATCATTCCTCTTTATTTCTGCTTATAATTATCAGTGAAAAATGGTCACGATGAATTAAAATAAACGGTTAGAAGACTGAAATTGTAAGCCTCTAGGAGGGCAGTAGTTAAGACATTCATAACAACTATCAAGAAATGCATTATTGAGTGTTTGAGTTTTTATTATTTTTCGCAAATTATTTGATTTTTTTATTTCACCTAATCAAAAATATTTAAATAGAGCAAACATTTTCCAGAATCGTCAAAAAATTTTTTATTTATTCATTAATGGTCGTAGTGTCGAATGTCAGGCGCTTAAGCAAGCACTAGACGTTGTTTTTGCTGCTCAAAATACTATTTCACCGTTTGTAATGATTTCTTTGCAGGTATTTTGAATTAGATTTTTAATGTTTATTGTTCCACGAATTGAAATTACTATCGGTAATAGTAAATTTTATATTACTAATTTGATACTTGCCCATCATATCCTAAATCTGAGTGTTCCGGATAAATGGTTAACCTGAAGTCAGAAGAATTAATTTATAAATGAATAGTTTTTGTAGCAACTAATGAATCAATTAATTTTCATAGATTGAGCCGAAACGTGTCGATGTTAATGTGCATCCGACTAAATCTATTGTTTATTTTCTGGAACAAGATAATATCATCAGCTCCATTCAAGATGTAAGCTTTTCACTGGTTTTCTGTTTCGGAAATTTAATTTAAATTATATTAGGCAATGTATAGACACCAGTTCCTTATTTTCTGAAATTTACTTCGAGACTATTATAATTAAAATTATATCTTTTAGTACGTGGAAAATTTGATTACGAGTTTGGCTGGCAGTTGTGATGTATATACGAAATTTCCATTGATGGTCAATAGTACTGATAGCAGTTCGTCAAAATCAGTTGATACGATGGTTACAAGTACAAACAAAAAGAAACTAACGATGCTTGTGTCAGAGTCGCTTGGTGGACCGCCACCCTCTTCTTCCAAATCGCCAAAAGTTTATCCTCACCAGGTTTCGTAATTATAAATTTTCATGGATTTGTATTTAATGGCTTAAAGGGAGAAATAAGGTTTCAATTTTTCCTAGCTGGTACGAACTGATGCGAAGGAGAGACGGTTAGAAGAATTTGTTGCAAGCCACTCTGAAATTGTATCATCCTCATATACAACAAATGATATTACTTCGAGGTTACTTTTGTAATGAAATCATCGACGAACAAACCAATCATAGTATATTTTTTTTGACGAGAAATTATGTCATTATGTTTACCTGTGGTTGTATTTGGGGGATATTTGGATTGCCATAGAAAAGCAACTCGAATGTACGCCAAATGATTGCTGGATAGATTCAGTAATATGGATGAAGCATATTGCATAGTGGAAATATGGATAAAAAATTTTGCTTCAAACTTCCAATTTTTGAGCTATTATTTTGATTACTTACAGCTAGTTTTTCTGAAATCATTTTCAAATCAAAAAAGTGGAGTAGGACTTGAAAATTTGATAAACTTCAATTCTGTCATACATTTAGCTCAAGACTCGCTTCATTTATTTAGCATAAAATCACCGGATGATAATGAGTGGCGCAAATTTGAATTTGAATCACTGAAAAATATGAAGAAAGCGCTTTGTACAGCAGCTTCTGTCAGTTTACGTTCATTGTTTAAAGAACACATATATGTTGGAGCCGTGACTGTCGATCAAGTTCTTATACAACATTCAACATCAATTTACTTGGTAGATGCTCAAGATTGTTTGCGGAATTTCTTTTATCAGGTAATTCTTCCCAGTAAAAATTATCAGGTAAACTAATTTTTAAACAAATGAAAATTGATGAGAAAGTAAATGTAAATATAAGTCTAGATGTATTAATAAATTCCCTTCACTAATTAACTAAGACATAAAAATGCCAATTTTTTTTGAAGTTTTTTGTTTTGGCGAGTAACGGTTAGTGTGTTATCTGGTATTTGAAATTATTTAAGTTTATCTGGTATTTGAAATTATTTAAGTTTCTTTTGTGTGCTACTGCTGAAAAAAAACATCAGAAACGCTTTATCATTCGCAAATGCTGTTTAAAAGTAACTTATCGATTGGTTACTTTTGAATATTCATAAGCAATAATGCATACCAATACTTTTATTATTAGTAATAGAATAGTTGAAGTAACACTATTAGAAAATAAGTAACCTCTCTAAATTGTATTTTCCAGCTATGAGGTATCTTCAATTGCAGGTTCTCGTTCTTTCGTTCGGTAATTTTGGATCATATAAACTAAGCGAATGCGCATCGTTAGCTGAATTATTACGCATTGCTGATAGTAACTTGTCTTCTACGGAAGCTCAACAGAAAACAGCTATTATAATTGAAAATCGCGAAATGTTGGATGATTACTTCTGTTTGTCTATTACGGAGAATGGCAATCTTGATTCGATCCCATCTTTAGTTGATGGATTTATTCCACAACTGGAATCTCTTCCTCAATTGATATTAACTTTGGCAAACGACATTAAATGGGATGAAGTCAGTTTTAATATCTCTTGAGATGTTTAAATGCAGCGAATTTATCTTGTAATATATAACAGCTTAACAATTTTGATTCCAATGCTTAAATCATTTCTGAGAAATTAAATTGTAAAATATTATAGAGAAGTCAGTAGTTATACAGAAAAAATTTTAGAAAATAAAGCTTGTTGTACTTTCAGGAGCAAACTTGTTTCGAGCAGGTTTGCTGGGCACTATCGGAGTTCTTTTGTCTTAAAAAGAAATTCTGCAGTGGCGAAGCGATTTCGAGTTTATGTAATGAAAAGCTTTCTTGGAGGAATGCCTATCAAGATATCCTATTTCCTGCGTTGAAAGTCAATTTTCTACCGCCACAAAAATTAATATCCTCATTACGTCGAATTGCTGATTTGCATGATTTGTACAAAGTGTTTGAAAGATGCTAATGCTTGTGAAGACTTTCGTATGAGAGAAAAAAACCGTTTTGCAAATTACTGATGACAAAAAAATTAACCTCATTTCTCTAACAGATAGTCATTATTCATATCGTTATTCATCATTCTGGATTTCATCATTGTTTTGTTATCGTTGGTTTCTTTCCGATTATCACGACATGAGGTGAGCAGTAAAACAGGTAGTATAAAAAGTCCGTGCAACAGTGCCAAACCTACATCCAGAAAGACTGTTTTAGCAAATGCTAAAATTGCATAAGTTGGAACAAAGATAAGCGGTAACATGCAAAGTATCGTTGATATGCCGGCCTGCAAATTAAAACTTCTCATGCGGGAACTGTAGTTCCGTTGAATTGGATTGAAATCTAGGTCTAGGCTTTCTTCATAAGCAAATTTTAAATCGGATCAAATACAGAGAATGTAGCCGAAGTTTAATTACAATAAATTATGTGGCAATTTTGATTCTAATTAGATTCTGAAATTTGAGGGTTACGTGAAAGATTATGATTCAAGTCCGAGGGTTATCGTTTTTAACAATTAATTACTAGCAATCCAATCATACGACAGAGAAATGTGGAGGTATAAAAATAGAAGTTTCTACCTGGAGCATGGGACCGCACATTTCGCGGAAACTTTGTTTAATTCGCTCTTCCCGACTACCAGTGAGTTTGTAAAACTTGTAAGCAATATGAGCGGTATAGTCAACACTAAATCCAGTGGCAATAAGTACATCGACCATTGTTACGGGATCCATATCTGCTCCCCACCATGACAACGAACCAACTAATGCTGAAACAAGAAATTATATTTTACTTCGGAACTTTTTTTCATTTTTTCGTCATCAATTATTTCCTCCAAAAAGATTCAATGTATGACTGAAATTTTGTGGTAACTTACAAAAACAAATGGATGAGATCGTGAAAGTAATAATTAGTACGCCAATTTTGCTGCCAATGAAAAATAAGCAAACAGTTGCCATGCAAATGATTGTAACAGTAACTGATCCAATAAGATCCTTTTTCGCAGTAAGTATCAAATCCAGCACTGCCGAATCGCCATCATAGACAGTGGCGTTGAAACGTGAATAATTACGGAAAACTGCACGGCATGCTTCCACATATTCAGCACGGTTGGACCATTCAGACATATTTCGCGCAGTTGCTGTAATTACGAATGATACCAACTTGTGTTCACCTCTGAAAAAAAAATTTCGATTTAATATTCAAAAAAACAGCGAGTAAACGGATGATGAACACCATTTATTCAGTGACAATGATTTCTATTCTTTTTATTCTTTGTGATTTGTGATTCTTTGTGATCTGCGAATTCATTTGATTTTCCACAAAATTACATTTACATTTTCCTTTTTTCCTTGCCCGATCTACTTGACCGATTTGAGTTATTCCTTGACCTTTTTAAGTAAAACAATTCGATAACAAGAAAATTCTTTGTGATATATTTTTGCTTTTATCTTGAAAGCCTTCCCCCCTGTCACATATTAACCTTTTGAGAGTTGAAATATCTTTGACTATTTATCGTATAGATGATTATTATAAACTTAATTTATCCTTATCATAAGCTTAATTCACTATGTAACATTTCGTGTCACGCTTAAACGAAAGTGTCTCTGTCATCAATAATCATTAAAAATTGCTACTAACTTTTCATCGACCCTCGTTTTGATGAATGGTGACTTGTGGATGTGATCCAGAAACATCGGTAAATTATCATATGATGGCGTGAAATCATTCTGACCTCCTACACCTAACATATTAAAGAAATTGTATATTTTACGATCAAATTCTTCATATGTTTTCAAAAAGGTGATCGTTCCATTTGATCCATAACTGTTGGGTACCGCTTCCAAACTTCTTATCATATCATAAAACTCATTGTACTGAAATCGTAGAGAACTAAAATTGAGTAGTTCTATTAAATACAAGTAATTTCAATTTTTATTTTTCAAGAATTCATTTTTTTTAATCAGTTCTTCTCAGCAACATTCATTTATATTCCAATAATAAACTGAAGCAAGCCGATGAGAGGAATATTAATGTTTGAAACATGAAAATGATCAAAGATATATTCGATTCGAAATTTGTAGCGGAAAAGAAACATACTTCTGTTGAATCGCTAATGTTTGGTGGCTTATTAATGACAATTTGAAGTGGAAAAAATTCATTGAAAACATGCCTGAAAGTGCTATCACAATTTTGTGCTATAGAGAATAGGAAAATTAAAACAATTAAAAAATAGTCAATTAAATGAGATTGAAATTTGGGAGATAATTATCTAAGCCATTTTTGCCAGATGGATTCATACAATTTCATAAACTCTTGAAGTTCAGAAATTGAAATTTGATAAAGATCTCTAAAGCTTTGGAATCTTTCGAGCAAGAAGGTTCATACATACCGAAGGACAACAAATGAAGTTGTAGATATCGAATCAGACGGAAATGCCTTTACAGGTTCAAAAGTTGATTTCATTTTCATAACTCCTATTGACGTCAAGGAGTATAATATCGCTAGCACGATTACTGTAATAACTCTACCCTTCCACGAACATATCAGTTTGCTATAACTTGTCAGACAATATTCGCCAAGCTACAATTAATAAATCGAAGACATCAAAATTTTTACGGATTTTTAATTCTCGAAATTTAATAATTGATCATTAGAGATTTGAAAGCTCGAGGAGGTAAAAGGAAAGATAAAATTCTTTTTTCATATTTCCGAATTTCTTACTTCATTTTTTGATACTTTTTCCACTATCACATAATCATTCTCTGATTTATCAGCCAAATAAAGAATTGGTGCTAAAAGTGTAAATGAGAAAATATAATCAAATAAACAAGCGAATGATGTGCATAGACAGAATAAGCTCATCTGAAAATTTAGGAACGTAAGTTTTTTGAATTTTTAATCACTCTTAACATTTCATTTTATGCTATATTTAACACAAAGTTGAAGTGAGTAGTCGAAAATAGCCGATAATTTCTTTTTTTTAATGACTTATAAGAGGGATTTTTTCTCGTTTCGTAGTTTAATGAACTTTTACGATGGACAATTTTCGTTTGACACACATGACGACAACACTCAATTATATCAAATTTCCTTCAAACTCATATTTCACAGACATACATTACCGAAAACGAATGAAATATGAAGAAAAAACAATTGGTCCCATTGAATTCTTGTTCTCATTAAGTCATTAACGATTTAGAATAAAGAATGACAATAAATTCCTTATGATAACAAGATTTTTGTTGCCAGAAAAGTGGCCATGAGGACAAGAAGAACTGCAAGTTGTGAGAGTGTTTGGAGAGAGAAAGCTTACCTGTGGTGTTGGCGTTAAATAACCAATACCAAAAGCAATCAGATTAGTTATAGATGTGATGCTAATTGATGGTCCAATTTCGACAAAAACTTGTGCCAATCTCTCATTTCGAGATGTTATGGACTTTAGACGAGACCATGCTTGGATCATAATAAATGCATCATCCACTCCTACAATTCACTTAAAATTTAATCGAATAATTAAACTTCCCATATCTCTTGCACTCTGATCATTTTGTTGTTTACACCATGAAATAATTCTTTCTTTGTATGCTTGAAGAGTTTGCGCTTTTGTCGTATTTAGATATTTTGTTGAATGCATTCAACGATCGCCTAATAAACTCTCGATACGCTTCCATACACTCTTTCCTCCTGAATGATTGCAGTCCATATCTGAGGTCATGAAAAGAAAAATTTTGATCAACTGTCTTAGAAATTAAAATTAGGAACTGCAGAATAGTAAATGGGTGCATAAAAAAACAATGAATTTATTTCCATTTCTGAGAATGTTGTAGGAGCTTAATGCGGGATCAAAAATCACGCAAAATGAATGAAGTATAGACCAGTTGTTATTTTTTTTATTAAAATTCCCACACTTTCGAGGACCTTCTGTCTCTTCGAAAACTTCATTCCAAAAATTAAAATACTGCATCAAAAATTGATAAAAACAAACATACCAATTCCAAGAACCAGAAATGGTGTGATACACATCATAGAATAAATGGGTAATCGTAGCCAGGAAATAATACCAAAGGATGAGCTGGCAGCCAGAAGTGGTGAAAATACAGTAGCAAAAACAACGGAAGGAAGAAGACGTAATTCCATTTTGCGCCACATAACAAGGAATACAAAACAGAGTAACAAAATAAATCCGAGTGTCATTAGTTTCGTTGCCTATAAGTTTCTATTTTAGTTAAATGACAATAAAAAAGCTTTAAATATTATTTTCTCATTGAAAAAATTTCATTAGGAGATTGAGAGAAGTTTCAAAGAAAATTTCGAACACTGAAATTTGACAGATTTATATCATTATGCTGAAGAATTGTTTCTGAACGAAAATATCGACATTATAAATTTTTACTTCATAAGCGCCTTGGATCATTTCACGGTTTGCAATTTCATCACCGAAAATATTAAAATTAATCCATTTGCTAGTATTTCGCTTTCTGGACATTTCGAATAATGTGACTGTTACATTTTGAAGAGTTTTAAGTTTATGTGGATTATCAGCATTGGCCAAGTGCCAGAACATAATAGTTCCTACTCTTGTTATCGTGGATCGATTGGAAAATACGTGATCTGAAAATGATGCATAAGTTTTCCATTTGTAAAGCAAAACTTTTTCGCCAGCCATTCTGTTCATTAGGAACATAGAGGAAAGAATAAAAAGAAATAAAATAAAAGCAGAAATGCTTGTAATAAAATATAAGAAAGTGTTAGGAAAGAGATTTATTTAATCAGTTAAAAAACTTGGAAACATTGCCGGAGGTTTGTACACTGAACAGGTTTGACCCAAGAAACAATTCCTGCCCAAATATTGTTGATCTCGGAAAATCAAATATAGCATCTTTGTCGTAGTCATTATTACTCACATGCTTTGTTAATGCATCCTAAAATTCATTTCTTTCATTACAATAACATCACAATTTTTTTCCTTTTTGGAAAATTATTTGAAGTAGCCAAGAAAAATAATCAATCTTTTGGGTTTATTTTTATTCAATCATTATTCACATATGCAAAGAGAAATGATATGTTTATCATCCATGTTGCCAATTAATTACTTTGTTTCAGTCACAACTTTTTTAAGAAATTAACATTTAATTGGAGGAAATATTTAAAATTTTCATTAAGTAAACTATGATTTTACCAGTGTTACATTAATTTCCTTCATTTTTCGTAAAGAAAAAATGTTACCCAGAAAAGTTTGACTGACGTATTAATGTCACAAAACGGATGACAGATTGGTACATCAAAATATTCAGTGCTATTCAATGTATCAGCCATTATTCCATTTATTTGAAACATTTCCTCCATATGACTTTTACGTAACATAGTTCCGCCATCTTTTGCATAAAATATGATAAAAGTTCTTTGTGGAGCGGTAGTAATTTCATAAAATTGCTTGTATATTTCTTCTTCTCTGTAAAAGTTTTTTTTAAGAATGATAATTAATAAACGATTATATTAAATAGAATGTTGTCAAAATTCGCTGATCAAGAAAAAAATTATTTTCAGGTGTATAGTATTCAGTGAAGTTTTTCAAATCATTCCTAAAATTTTTGAAGTAATGAATTAATTTTCATCGAATAAAATAGCACTGCTTTTAAAATTTTTTGTAAGAATATTTGAGGTTAAACACTCTTAAAATAATAAAAAATTCTTAGGATATGATAGTTCAGACTCGTATTTATAACCTTTACCACCTTTATAAAAATAAATTTTCTAATATCATTATGTTGATTACTCTCAGTACTGTTGTTTTGCAAATGATTTTTATGAATTTAAATTTTTGAAGAAACTTATAACTTCAAAAAAGCAACTTGTTCGAATGTTGGAGATTTATACAGTTATATGAAAAAGAACATTACTATTTATTTGTATGAAACTTTTAAAGATTTTTCTCCAGGAAAAATATTTCTCTATATCTAAATTTTAATTTTGGGTTGAAGCAGTACTTTCATGTTTATTTTTTACCTTTAGTTTTTGCATCAATCCAATTTGTGCCGAAAAATCTACTTTAATTTTTAAAAAAAATTGATGGATTCCTTTTCACCAATTTTTATGTTATTGTCTACTGAAAACTATCAAATGGAAAATATCGAAGTTAGATGAAGAAATGTACTATCCATCTAACATTTAGCAGGAATTAAATGTAATTATTTAAGTTCTAAAATCAAACCTTCAAATCATTATTACATTTTTTTTTCAAAAAGAAAATCATTATTATTATAAAGAGAATTACATTTCCATTCTCTCTTTGTTTATTTCTTTAAATATCCCATTTAAAAAAGATTTTTAAAAAACAAAAATTTTTTTCCTATACGTCATCAGCCATTGAACAATGAAAATCCCCTTGAAGTGAAGAGAATGACCTGAATGATAATTATAATGATATCATCAGAATGATTCTAATGATAAAGATAAAAGTTGGTAAGGTAACAGCAACCTAGCTGCTCTTGACTTGGGTGGTGAAAAGCTGCGTCGTATGTCATCCTCTAAAGTTGAATTAAATAATGATAATGACAGAAATACTGAGAATAGAAGTGTTGCAAAAAGGAATTGACGCGGATATGTTGCGATTGTATTAGCAATTTGTCTATTAACTCGATCGTACATATGCCTGGAAAATGATGGAATTTAGTTTTTTTCGCATTTCTTAACTGTAAATTGAAATGAATTTATGGTTAAAAAATGTCAAATGGAAGAGCAAAATTGCAGAAGTTTTTAAAAATATCAAACATCACCTCTGATAACTATTTATGATTCCACGCAACTCTTGAAATGCGTTTTTTAAGCGTGCTACATTAATTTTTTCTCACCAGGAACTTTAGAGCACTCCGCAAAACAGTAAGAGAAGAAGAGTTATCACAAGTAAGTAATAAAAAGTTATGATAGGGTTCTCCATTAGAATCATTCGAAAGTTTAAACTCAAAGGTTTTGAAAATTGTTTATGCTGTACACTAAGTGAAATATAATAATTTGATAAAATAAGATCTGAAATAAGAAATAAGTCTCCATCTGAAAATAAGACGTGAAATAATAAAATAAGTGATGAAATTAATTGCATTTAATGATACTAGAAATAAATGGACAAAACAGAAACGAAAAGTACTTACTCCATCTGAATCCTGAATTAAGATCGATTACCGAAATATTGAATTTAAACTACGTGATTCCACGTGTAAAATACAGCTGGTAGATTTGGTCCAAATAGGAAAAGTGTTGTAATAAGAACAATACCGTATTGAATTAATGTTTCTCGTTGCTAAAAAAAGTTGTTTTGCAAAAAGAATTACCTAACCTGTATACATTTCTCTGTCACACTACCATTAAATTTGATTGAAACACATGAAAATTTCATGGACCCTAACAGAAATTTGTCGATAATCTTTGTCTCGTTATTTTTAGAAATAGGCGTAATATCGTCCGTGATGTAACTTGTAATCTTCATGTTTGAGAACACGTCAAGTACAGAAATCCGTCAAGAAAATGAATTTAGATCAGTTAAGATAAGAATTTGTACCGTTTTCACTTTGTTAGACACTTTAAATGCATAGTTTATCGAAGAAACATAGCAATGACACATAAGGAGAATTTTTGGCGTAAATTTCAACATATAATTTAATTTTAATTAAAGTCTTCTAACTTTAATGAATGATTTCAGAAACTAGAAAAGATTGAAAACACGATGACGGCGTACATTGAGAATTGTTGAAAAGATGATCGAGTTTAAAATCCGATATGACATAAAAAGGGATCTTTTTTCGAGAAAAAAATCCTATTTATAGATAAAATTTTTAGCTGCGAAATATTGAAATGAAAATGAATGAAGATGGAAGCAATTTATGAAGTATGATTGAAGATGAGTTAGAGAGTAACGACAGCAACTGGTCGAAAGAAAAAAGATTTTTAATTTAGGAATAATTTTATAAACCGGAAATAGATTTAAAACAAGGCCAATTTGAAAGAATGCACTGAGAATAGTTGAAAGAAAGACGGAGTTTGAAATGCGATATGAAAAAAAAGAGAAAAGGGAAGTTTAATTGAAATTTTTTTTGTTATAATGTATTAAAATTCGTCCTAAAACCAGTTTTTTACTTGAAAACGTTGCAATCCAAAATAAATCAAATTTCTTTTACCAGTGTCCATTTTCATTTCAGAAAAAATTTCATCCGCTCATACCTGGTACTGGTTAATAATTACTCAAAATGTCGAAACAAATTTTTAGAGAATTATGCGTCCACATTAAATATTAAATATCCCGAATATTCCTCAAAAAGATCGTAGTTTGATCTGAGAAAATCCCATCATATTCTTTAGTTTACCATTTATATCTTCCACTTCCACTTATTTTTTTCATTATCGATTATTCGAAATTCTGAAAAGTCATATTCAATTTTGAAATTTACAGCTGAGTGATAATTTTGAAAAATTGGTTCGAAAATAACATGTGGACAAAAAGCAAACTGACATCAATTTTCAAATAGCTTTTTTGAATATTTCGATGATTTAAAAAACCCTTTTTTAGGTGATTGAATCAGTCGAAAATAATTACTTTATGGGTGAATGGACAAATAAACGAATGGACGAATGGCCAAACCAGCAATGAATGATTCATCCCACTTTTCTCCGCATGATATTTCAAAATTTCCAGTTATATGTTAACCTTTCCAACAATTAAGGGCGAGTCTGGGTTATGTGGAAAAAGCCAAAAAATTAGCTGTTTCAAATATTGATTTGATAAAATTCAGCTCAAATAAATTAGCATCAGATTTGTCAAAATTTGTCGGCTCTGCAGTATTTCTGGTAATGAGAAGGGATTTAATTGGTCTGTCTGAAAAAGGTAGAAGGTCAATGCTTTTCATTAGTGTCAGCCATTGATATCAGGACTTCTAATGTTTACTTTTCAGCACTGTAAGAATAGTAATACTAAAGTTTTACAACTTTAAGATTACTATTATTACAGTGCTGAAAAAATACAGTGTGTTAGAAAGAAAACCCTTTCTCCTGGACCAATGTCTGGATCATACCTTCATAATTATCAAATGACCAAACGATTGATCGCTGAATTTAACTGCTACAACAATAAATTTCAATCGAGAGCGGAGAAGGTTACGGACATAAAAGGATAATTTTCATTCATTACAATAAAAAAAAATTTTAACTTTTCGAATGAATGAAAATGTAAAAAAATCTAATTTTTTTAGTACATTTTATAGCTATTGAAAAATGGAATGTCAATGTTTAAAAATATCGAAAATCAAAAGTAATTATTGAACGATTGATTATAAATCAATTTCTAAATCCAACCGTACTACTGTAGAAAACTGTGAAACGTTCTCTTAGCTACCAATAACAGAAGCAAGGCTAAAGTATCAAAAGTCAACTGGCATAACAATAATTTATTGTTCGGATTGTGCGCCATTTATGCGCTCCTTAAAACAAATAGGACATTTAGGAAAATAATAAGTGAAGCAATTACTTCAATACACTCATTAAATAGAAAAAAATTATGCAAATTCATTTCTTGTATTTTCTTTCCATTCACAGGAAATCTCGATGTGGACCGTTTTCTTGCTTATGTATATACCAATCATGCTGATTTAGCTATAAAGAGATAGCAGTTTTGGTACAGTGCAAATAGTTTGATAATTACAACAATAATCAAATAAAAAATTGATACTGATAATGCTATTGAAGATTACAAAGGATGAGGATGCCGTGCAAAGGATATGTAGTAAAACTGTCAACTGAAAATGATCATGAGAGGAGTATTATAATGAATTGATCATTATGTGAAGCATTTCAGTAAGAATTTGATAGGTATCAAAATGAGAGGTTCAGACATAGAAGTAATACTATTCAAGAGAATGATGATAAAATAGGACGAGATAAGAATAATAATGGTGGTAATATGGACTGATTTGTACAGTACAACAGGATTCTGGTAAAATCAGAGCAACTGTAAAGATTAACTCCTTAAAAAAAGGCCCACATGATTTTAAGTATTAAACGAAATATCATTCCCAGAATCCGTTCAGATTTGTGATCATCTAATTTTAGATGCAACAGTAGTAATAATAATCGTATCACTAGTCGGTAGCTCTAAAATGTCTCCGATTTCGAATTTTGTGAATTAAAAAAAATGTTTCACAGTTTAAGAAATCCAGGCAGGGCAAGCGATATCTTCAATAGTTTTGAAATTAGCGTAAGTTTTTGGTTGATTTAAATCAATGAACGATATTATATAACGATAACATATAGGATAAAAAGTATTTTAATTTTTAATTTGTTTCAATAATTGTTTAAAATTTTATCTATTTAAATAGCAATTGTTGATTAATTTTAAATTTACTATAAAATGGCATGAAATGTAAGAATATGGATGCGGCTTTTTACTAAGAATTAATCCATCTAATTAAAATTATCTAGAAAACAATTCGAAATACAACATTTAACTCGTTTGAATTGTGCCACTCACTCTCGATTATTGAATTATCATCGTGCTGGCTCAAGAATAACGTCCTTTAATATCGTTTATTTCTTCGATAAAAAGTTGTTAATGGATGGGATGCATTGAAAAATTGAAGAAATCATGGATTCAACAAATAATAAAATAAATGGGTGTTAATGATAGAATGACCACATCGATGAAATAAGTAAAATATGCAACATAAGTAAGCAAAATCATTGATAAAAGAGAGAAAAATCATCTAGAATTGTCATCACTGCATCAATTTTGTAATTGTAACCGAAGTGAGCGAAGAAATGATATGATACGACACGTACAAAGATAATCAGTATAATGTATTTTATTTGGAGTAGTATTATAAAGACAATACTCACGTGGTGAGTACTACAGCAAAATTAATAGAACTGATATCCCTATTATGGCTAATTAAATAAAAATTGAAATCTAACATCATAATACATAGGGTATGGTAAAATAAATTGATTGAACATCCGCAAATGGGGAGCGAAATGATCATAGTTGTATAAGTCAGAATCACTGTTACCATTATCGCTATCATCACTACTAAAACTATCATCATCATTACTATCATGTTCAATTAACAGGCCTGAAGTAAATATGTTATCACCATCATTGCTGATTTCATCGTGATCGTCTAGCGATTCAGATATTTCCATGTTGTCATACTCCAGCGAAGAGACACTCAGTGTATCATCAATTTCGCCGAATGATTCGGCAAATGATCCAAGCGAAACAGATGACGTAATACTAAGTGGTGCATTTAATACGCTTACCACATCTAAAGATATCTCTTTCAGTAAGTAAATTAAAGACAAGGAAATGATATTTTGGCAAGAATAGATCCCACAAGCTTCAAAAAATTTATTAGACATTATACATCATGTACTAGAGGACTAGATTAGAAAAATCTGTAATTCTAACAGATTAATACCAGTTCTGAAATTTTGCTAAGCCAGAAGCGACCAATCTGAGATATCGATGGCATCCTCAATGTATGCAAGTAAAATAAATAATGTACCACTATCACTAATTGTCTCTTGATACTCCAGCTCTTCATTTTTATCTTCCGATTCTGTTGCAAATTCACTATCCTCTGAGGGAGTCATATTTAAATCGCTGCTGTCTGTGAAATCACCATCTATCGCTCTATTCGCTTCGTCTAAAACATTTGTACATGATTAAATTTTCATTTTAATTTTATTTGTAAATCATTTTTTTAAGATTGTTAGATGTAAAGAATTTTTAACTTTAATTATAGATCATTTTTTAAAGATTGTTAAATATCAACAATTTCTGTCAGCTTTATAAAATTAATCTCAAATCCCACCTTCGTAATCACTGTCGTAACCACTATTATTGTTGTAATTTTTACCATTATCATGGTAGTTACCATCAAATTCATTTATATTTTCGGGTGCCTGTGATGACCGAGCATTTTCCTAAGCAAAAGTTAAACTCTTTTCAGTAGGAAAGCATCTTCCTAATTAAAAATTGACCAACCTAAACCTCATTTAATGCCATCTCCAACAAGCCTTTCAACAAAAATCTCTTTTCTACACTTGCATTTTCACAATATAACTGACAATGATTATATTCACATCATTAGGTTCTTGCTAAGCAATCAAACCAAATGAAACTATTTACCAGTCTGGCAAATAGCTGATATACTTGCCAGGGTCACTGAACTGCATCATAAATAAAAGATAAGTGATCCTGGACTACCAATATTTCTTATGTCCTTGACTTTAGTCACATTAAAGCCACCGTGAAAATATCCTAACTTCAAATGGATTTACAACACAATTACATTTGTTATGGAAGCAGATTTGTTATGATCCGTTACAGCAGCAATTGATGAAGTCCCAACATCGTTCACAGTTTTATCATCACAGTTAGCGAAATATAAACGTTTCACGATATTGCTTGGTGATGTGTGTGTACGACAGGTAGGACACTGTTCGGCATACTGCAATGTTAGAGCCGACTTACTGCTTTTTACTGAACATTTTTTTCTAATTAATTTTCCTAAGAATTCTCGAGATATGGTAGAATCCATATCTGACATGGCTTAAGTGTATAGCAGAAGTAACCGAATGTCGACGACCATCTAGGATAAGTTTAAAATGCTAACTATTTCAGTCGCATTATTCACTATTCATGAAATCATGAATTGTGATGATGAAATAAATCAACAATCATGAAATGTGCTGAAAGAAAGAAAAGAAGCGTTTTTCCAGATCAGTACAAAATGTCCATAATTTAGCTATGTTCTTCAAATCACCAATCGGTTCTTCACGATTATTCGATGATTGTAGCCCTAACATGTAAACAAGGTTCACATAAAAATCTTACGAGAAGCCATCGCATGATACATTTATAGTGAAATGTATGTCCACATGGCAGAGATGAAAAATTATTAATGTATAAATTCTGTGCACAAATCACACAGCTGCCGATGGTATCTGCCATATCTGTAATATATCCTTTTATAAAAAGGTACTTTAACACACATCAGCACAATACAAAACGAATATAAATCCATTAAATCATTAACTTAATTGCTTAACTTGTCAGAATCACCGGATATTTTGCTTTATTGACAATTATCAACGAATCACTTTGCATTGAATAAATAATGCAGAGCCATTGTTTCCAAATTCTAATGATCAAGAACTTCTAAGCAATCTAAACGCTTAATTTATCACATTTTTGAAATTGGAAAACATTAAGAAGTAAACTAAAAAAATAGATAAAATTAATATGCTAAATCTAATTGAATCTTTAGGATATCAATCCTTTACTCAAGAAAGCAACAATTCAAATTGACCGATCGCTATCAGTTACAAATGTACGAATTACGCGAAATTAAAATGGAAAGGAACGAAAAATGCCGTCTGATGAAAGCAACACAGAGATGATAAATGTAATTGGATCCCACAAACCCCTATGCATCAGTTCAGTCTTTCGAAATTCATCTCATTCCACGATTCCTTCCTCTCCGAACGTGTGGCGCAAAGAATCTCTGCTATTCCGATACATTTCAAATTGCTCTGTCGCACATTAATCGATGCTTGTGAGGCATATATTTCGTATGTTGGTTGCACTGCAACGTTACGCCATCTGATCATTCATTTCACTTCCTTCATGTGGTCTGTACCACACAGTATTAACAGATCTGACCATATAGTACGCAAAAATTAAAACGTCATAATCATTACGCTATTCACTCTCGAGAAATGTCAGGAAACTCCGTTATGATTAAATCACATTGGTAACACACAGTCCAGTTAATAGTACACTTGACTTATTGCATATCGAAAGTTTCCTCATTATTTCTCCTCATATGTTACTTTTACCTTGACAACACCTGTAGTAATTAATAAGTGAAAAAAAACATTATATTGTTGAAATGATATTAATCTTTTATTGTTTGTGTTGTGCATTCATGCAAATCAAACTTATTAGAAATGAAAACTGTTTGATAAACCACCCGAAAAGCGGATATGAACAACAGAAGATTCTTCTAAATATCAAAGTAAAAGGGAATAGAGATGATAAAATCACAGCTGCGTATCAAATACAACCAAACATACGACAGCATTAAGTGCTCCTCAATAACTGATTCTGTTAACCATTAAGCGACACAGAAAATAAAATGGCCAAAAATTATTAAAGCTTTCCTTTGTTACTATAAAAATCCACATAAAAATAGTTACAAAAATGAAAGAATAAAGTTAATAACATAAGCCAAAGTAATATAACAAATCATCATCCAAAGCGCAATAACCTCGGAGAATAGTTCGTAAACAGTAAAATTTTTCCTGATCAGAAAGCAATGATTTATAGCTCGTAAGATTAAAAATTACGAAGTATTATTTCCATGAATTAAGCCTGAAACACCTTCGATCATAAGCATGAAGCAAAATTATTTTCAATTTATAGATATATAGGTATCATCACTGATGGTAGGATATAATGGTAAAGACGCTAAGTAATCGTACAAATACAATAAATACACTCATGCACATCTATTAGAGTATTACATGAAAGCGTCTTCCAGTATGAAAATTCGAAATATAGCTCTTGAAGACTGCAGTAAACGTTTAAACACATTTTAACGAATATGAACATAATCAGGTCTAATCATAGCATTAATGAGATATCTTTTGTTATCACAATTATTCAATGATAATAGGAAGCGCACGACACAAGCTGAAGTATGGATAAGGGAAAAGTTTTAAGAATTGAAAAAAGAACAATCACCAATCACCTCTTCAAATCACCAGTGTTTGGCATCTGGATACATGACCTACACAGTCATTGAAGGACTGGCTAAGACTATCGGGAATGATCAGTTTAAGATTTGATATTAGATGGGCACATATTATTTTCTCCCTTTGCCGAATACTATCCATATACTTTATAATACATAATTAAGTCTTTGGTTAGTGAAAAGACCTATGAACGCTCTCTCACAATTTATGTTATTTAAAACTACATGGCATCAAAATGGAACCGATGTGACTGAGCCTGTCGTTCGTGCTTATCAGCACGCCTTTCACGATAATGCAAAAATACTACCACCAATAAAAGTATCATACAGACTGATATTAATACCATCAACGATTGTTTTATCAGCTGAAAGTACAGCATTATTCAACTTCTGCAACTTTCATCTATTTTTACTAAATGAGGAAGTGAAAGGAAAAGACGAAGAAAAAGAACAGCATTTAATAAATGAACATTGAAAACCAGTGTAAAATGATAAATGCATATTTCTCTTACTCAATTTTACCTTTTCAAAGTAGGTCAAAATAGTAATGTGTAGAAAATAAAAACAAATTTATGTTAGAATTCTTTCCCTCCATTATTTTTTTCAATAACTGTCTTACTTGTAGCGGTACACAACAGAAGAGCTACAAAAATCTGCTTTATAGAAAAATAAAATTCATCGTTCTTATGTTTTCAGTTTTAATCACAATTTCCTGTCATCAAGAAAAAAAATTATGTTGAAAATTATGCTTATAACTGAAACCAAAAGAATGAAAAATTTTACCTTTTCAATGAAGTACACCTTTTTAGCCATTGTGCTGGTATCGTTTAAAGTTATTGAGACACAATTATTGAGAAAAAAGGAATAAAGTCATGGATTTTTTTTACTGCATATCAACTGAAGAGCTTACTTTAATCCTTTTTTTGAGCAACAAAAAAAGTGCTCAGGCATTCAGAATAAATTCCTACAGTTAAAATTAATACCAAAATTTCTGTAATTATGCAAATGCCTAAATTTCCTCAGAAATACAAACCTGACTAGGAGTAAGGTAAAGTCTACTCTGCCAGTGAACTCCATCACCTTTAGGCGGTACAACAATTAATCTTGAATTCGGCACAATTTGCTTCAAGTAATAGTGTTGATTTCCATAATACAGGACACCTGCCAATGGCACACGTGGAGAGCCAATATGCACTATAAAATGTTTATCAATTCCACATCTTCCTACGCTGACATTGACATTATAAAAGACGAATGTATTCAGTAGTTTGAGACATTAAAACTACCAGTGGCAATGTTAGTCATCGTTTAATTATGCAAAAAAAATCATTAAAACAAAATTTCAAATCTTTAAGATTTCTAACAATCGGCGAAATTTCGTTCACAATTGATACTATTCAAGTATTGGTTTTTTGTAATTAATCACAATAAAAGAAATTTTAAAAATTTAATGAATAAATTTACCATAATCAACAAAATTTGGTGACCTTCCTAAACCAAATAGAGCAAACGGTGTATGAAGTGCTCGATGTGTTGTTTGAGGCATCTGACATTGTGAGCCGACCTGATCATGACCCCATGAGTCGGACATACTAAACATGACGCAAGCACCGTGCCAAGCAATTCCAGTTCCAGAAAAAAAAGTTCAAGATGAAAATAACTATATATACGATACTATAGTATAAATAGTTATTTTTATCTAGAATTCGATAGAAATATAATTTTGGAAATTGAAATAGACACAGTAAAGTTGGTTTATTATATTTGCTTGAGAGGTCCTGAATTAGAGTTATCACTGAGTTAATGGAAAAGCAAATATTCGAAATGGGGAATACCAATTTTTGTTTTCGTAGAACCACAGGATTGATCGCATGAGCTTGAAAATACTTGTACTTTCAGGAACGTTGTATCACCCTGATCTTCACATTTAATGAAATCAACAGCCATACTTTGATCAGCATCTTTATATTCAAGCAGTACATCGAGAGTACCATCCTCTTTCAAATCAAAAAACGACGCCAACTGAATTTGACCCAAGGAAACATCAGCAGGCTGGATAAGCCTAGGACTTGTCCTCAATTCAAATCTTCTGAAATAGATGAAAATTACGTACCAAAATGTCCTGCAACATTTTCCTCATCGCACTTATATTGTCAATCCTTCTACAGAAAATGCATACCCCTAATGATGAGTCTGAAAACATGATCAGCATAAAATTTCATGAAGCTGCACCGAGGGATAAATTTTAAAAAGTGTACCTAGAAGCATTAGAAATACAATCTGTGCATGGAACATTCTCCAGGATCATTGGATTTTGCGTTTTTTCTCGAACAAGTGCTATTAAGTCAGGATAACCATCCAATGAAAAATCTCCAACACGAAAAACAACATTCCCTTCATCTTTTTTGGATACCAGATCGGAACCCTAGAAATATACGTCCTTCACTTTCTGCGCAACGATTTCTGCTTAACACAAACTTCTTTCCATTCATATTCATGACCAGAAAGAATATTTTTCAATGTTTTGGAACAAATTAGCTATTCAAAAATACAAAAACCAAGATATTGAAATTATATCATTCTGTATTAGCGGCAGTTTAATCATCTAAAAGGGGGAAAAATTATTTCGATTTAAGATTATCGCAATTCATTGCTTTTTTTGAAACAATTTAATCAATGTTAATTTTTTTGAAACAGCACAGGAAAGAAGGAGATTTCTAAGTAAAGAAAATAAAATGGAAAAAGATTTTTTCTAGGAATGTTAGGATCTTCATAGGAAAACATCCCGAACAAAATGACAAGAAAGAGTTCCATTTACCTCAAGACCAGTAATGTGAAAATCTTGCCATGCTCCGATATAATGATTCCACATATTGATCACTACTACTTTTCGACACGTCGCATCAGCACAACATGGTAAACCAATGTCAACAATTCCATCGGCATCAAAATCGGCAAATAATACAGCACCAAAGTAATTGGTAGAACATGAGTCGGCTGGTAAATCGGCAATAAGCGCTTCATCTAACTCCCACAGTTCACTATACCAAATAATACATTTAAAAAAATACTTGAAGGGAAAGAGTGGAAAGAGTGAAATATATAGAATATTCATGTAAACATCCTTCTAAATATTCACGATAAAGTTTTTCGTCGAAAAAAAGAACGCTTCAAAAAAGTTAAAAAAGTGATGAGCCGAAGGTCTACCAAAATTAGTAATAAGTCCCACACCACTGCATGTCAGTACATATTACTACATAAATCTCATTGATATTAATTTCTGCTGTATGAGTATTACGACAAAAGTTGTGGTAATACGTAATAAGAGATAATGAAAGCAAAAAAAATGAAACTTCACATTGCTCGAGTTACAAACAAACCTAAACTTTTACAAATGAATGAAGCTATTTTTGCTAAATACACTAAATAAGCACTGCTAGGTGAGAATTTCAACAAAATATGCAAAACTAATATTTTGAATTTAAAATGATACTTTGATATTCTTCTCCATGCATGCATTTTTAAACGATTGTCAATTTTGGTACCAAATATTATTTCAGCACTTAAATCACCATTTATATCGACAAAGGAATGCAAAAAACGTTCGTATGGGACAATATTCGACATATTATCAAACGTTCTGCAATAATAAAGCTCGATTCAAAAAAAAAGTTCCACATATTGAATTCAAATATTATATACAAAAAAAAAATTTTGAGAGAATTATTTCTAAATTAGACAAATAGCTTACTTGAAAAAATGTTCACAGGGTGAAAAATTTCCTGCCGCTGAACCCAACTGACAAAATAAAGAATTGTTACTGAGAAATCCCACAACATCACTGATACCATCACCGTTAACATCCATCACAGCAAGCTCATCTAGTAATGTTGCGTTTAAATGAACTGGCTTGTAAGCATTATATGAAAATATATGTACAGTCGATTCATAACCTTTCTCGCCATTGGGCTGAAAAAAGATAATTTCATTCATTATAACTAAAACTTTAAACCATTCAAGAGTGTGCTAATTACATAATATTAAGTAGATATCATTTCTAAAATTAGATACTAGCTTCTTTTTTACATCAAAATAAGGTCTAAAATGTACAAATATTGTACAGTCCTTATTTTTGGAAGATCAGGGGAAAATGACTGGAAAGAAACAAATAAATCGAACTGGGACAAATTAGCACTTTATAACTTATTGTATCTCTTTTAAATTTCATATTTATAACGAACGTTCTTTCTCGAAACCAATATGTCAGGCACTGAATCACCATTAAAATCCCCAACTGCACATGAAACAATTTGTGATGAGAGAAGGTTAATATTTTGTCCTGCTTCGAAAAATTCGCCATTTTCATTCTACAACAAGTCGGATTTCATAAGTGTCATAATAATGCAAATAAAGGGAAAAGATGATACAGAGAAGCATTTGTTAAAGTCATAATGGTGAGAAAGATTATATATATATATATATATCTTACTTCATCTAACGCTACTATTTCCAATCTATTCGTCATTACTAATGTTAATAAAAGCCCAATATTCAAAAAAACGATTCTCCATTATAAAACAATTGATTGCACTTGGAAATAATGACTAACAACGTTAGTTAAAGCAAAATAAATGAGTGAATATCGAGAAATAAGGATGAGTAAAACAAAGTGGAGAAGAGTTAAGCTAAGCTGAAAACGGATAAAAAAGGAAAGGAATGCAATAAAAGTGTGGTAATGAATCAGAACACTGTGAGACAGAATTAGATGAAGTGAAGTGAAATAAAATGAAAAAGATGGTAAAATAAAGTCGTATAAAGAGTGAAGCAAACAATCGACAAGTTGTTAGAAGCAAATTAAAAATTCAAGTTCAAACAGAGAGACGAACTAGACCTGAAAATAAATCATTAATCGATCATGATTCTGTACAATAATATCAGTATATAGGTCACGATCAATGTCGCCATATGCACATATCCGACCTTTTAGTTTTCCATTTACATATATAGCATGCATGATTACACAAATAGCAATCTGTGGTATACTCCACGAATACTTCACCGATAACCAATGCATCACCTGAAATACCAATTAGGTGATCTTTGGTGATAAAGAAACCCTATTTCCACAAAGTATCATCCAACCTGTCACATCGGTTGATATTCATTGTGTGAGGCCGAACCGTCAATCATCGACTATGTCGGGAGGAAGCAGAGATCGGTCCTCTCGACGATCGGTAGTGTGTGAACTATGAGCTGATGTTGGGAAACAATGCTTGGAGCGGTGACAAACAGGCTGTTCAAACAAACTGTTATTGTGATCATTTAAAAGGTGAGGTGACGTGAGATAATACAAGGTGCGTGAGAAAGGCAATACTGATAGTTCTTTTCTATGCGAGTTGCTGCTTAATAGCGAAATCTCCAAGTCTATTGATAATAGGTGTCATCTCAAGACATGCTGGACACTAATCGCTCCAGCATTTTAATTATTTTGCATTTGCTATTTGCAGAGAGTTTGAAAAGAGATATGCGAATATACTGGCAGATATTCAGTAGAGCGACATTTTTTGCAAATTATTGGAAGACTGCCAAATAAGACAACTATAACGGAGGTCATGGAAAAGACAGCTTGAATACTTACTGTCGAACAACTATCGATGCAAGACCGTTGTCCTCAGAAATGATGTGTTAGTAATGTAATCAACTTCCGCCACCTTTCCGACTACGTATAAATTCACAGTTTGCATTTCCTTCCGTTTTCCTAATACCATTTCCAACATTTGCATCCTCACATCATGCGAATCCGATTTAAATAAATGACACAATTATTATCACAAATATTTTTTTATTTTCCCTTATTTCATCAATTACGATAACAAAAAAGGATGAAAAAACAAAACAATGCCAATACAAAGTAATAATTTTCCGAGCCCTCAGTTTGCTGGAATGAGAAGTTACTAAATTATTTTCTTCTCACGTAGGCTCGCTAACTCAAAAGTATGGATTTTCACTTTCTTGTTAGAATCAATTATAGCAGCTGTTCAAATCAAATTTTTAATCAAATCAATAAATTTCTTAAAGAATTAAATTACAAGTCGACTTGATTTTTAAGAAGGGTAATTCGAGCTGGATGATAATATCTAGATGTAATATTCCGGAACAATATAACACCACGATAAAGTTTCAAAGCTGGTAAACAACAATAACCGATAGCAAAGCCTCTTCCATGTACGAATGAATAATCACCGCGTACAACTCTGCCAATGATAGGCCTGCAAATTGATCACTCATTTACTTCTTTATTTGATTATCAGTTTTTTTACACACATCTTTTCGAATGATGAAATGTGCTAATAAAAATATATCTCAACGCACTACAAAAATATATTCGTGCACATCATGCACTAAAAAATCGGAGTAAAGGATAAACTTAAAAAATTCACATGGAAGAACTGAAAACGAGAACCTGATATTTAAGATTAATCAGGTAAGTAATAGAAGTCCAAACATTAACTAGTGAATAACTTGAGCTTGAATAATACTGCCCTCATATTGCAACTGCATACCTAGAACAGCTGCTACTGTATTTTATGAGCTCCACTGCTTCCTCTTCCAATTCGTCCCTATTATTTTCCAGCTGTTTAGAAGTGGAAGTCTGCGAATCATTTTCCACACTTTTTTTCAATCGTTTAGCTTCTTTCGCTTTTTTTCTTTTTTCCTTTTTTCTCTCCTTCATTTTTCGCTTCCTGTATACATATTTAATATTTGATTTTAGAGAGTTTGTTTTTTATCTTCCTCTTCTCAATAACGAAATAATGATTCACAACGCGAATAAATATCACCCGCATCTACGAGGAAAAGATTCCATCATACCATTGTGTACAAAGTTTAATACCAGAATTAAAGTGGAAATTTGTAAAAAAATGTTTGATAAGAAGCAGGTCACAAATAGGCCATAGGAAAGGCAATCTACAAATGAAAAATTTTATTAAAGGGCTAAAAGTTTAATATCTTGATTCTGATTCTCTTTTCCTCAAGGCTTACCGTAACATTTCCTTGTCAGGAAAAAGTGAGTTCAGCGATATGTGCTTTTCACTTGCCGTAACATCCAATGAAATGAAATCCTCTAGTCCAATCTGGGATAAATAAATATGAATATATTACCATAACAAGTTAAATATATTTGACTGCTTAAGACATCTAATGACTTCATGAGGTTTTGAAGTTTGTCAACCACGAACAAGTTTTTCCTTTTAAGATAATAAATTATTTACCTCATTTCCTTGGTCTTCTTTATTTTCCTTATTATCAAACGCTGATTTTAAGGTACTTCTCCGCGGTTGTTCAATGATTTGTATAGCATTTTCGCCTCTCCACAGTTTTGCTACACTCGTAAAATCCTCCCCGATTGGTGCACATATCAGTGCGAATCGCTGTGGACGACCTCGTGTTGTTGATACAAGAGATATGGGTACTAATGCTGCGGAATTCATAACAGATTCTGAAATTGTGGAATTATCTCGAATGATTATTTTGTATATTTAGACTAGTTATTCAAGCTTTTTTTCTCAAATTCATTTCCAAAATATCATTTATCACTTGTTAATGAATTAATTTTAAATTTTTGCAGATTTGCAGATTTAAATGAAGAAATCATTTAAAAAATAACCTTCCGGCATTGGTGCTCTTCCAGCCAACCATTTCTCAATACTCTGCAATATTCTACGGTCACGTATAACGTATGCAGCACCCTCAATGCTTGAATTCTCCAGCCAATTATGAGATAACTCAGAGAACTGAAACGTGAAAGGATATTTGATTGATAAGCTGCTCCAATACTTCATTCGGCGATTATGTGGACGTCGTATATGCTTTTCCTAGAAGTGAAATATCTGTCTAAATAGAAGATTATTTCATGAATCAGTTCATAAAGACATTAAAGTAAAAAGAATATGGCGCAACTGTAATACCAGAAACACTTATAAATAGGACGTCAGATGTCCCTTTTATAATGTTGAAAATTGCTGAAAACTTGTAAAGCAAAACGAATCTTTCTACATGCTTAAATAATCCCTCCATTTGATGAATAATCATTTAGATAACAAAACAATATAAGTGCTTTTGAAATGTTTTTCCAACAACAAAAAATTGTCACTTAAATATTTTATGACAGCTACCTGCAGATTAATATATTCTTCTTTAAATTCGTTAAGACCAGCATCACAATCTGGTACATCAGCGGGAAAATTAAAATGGCTTGATTCCAATTCTAGGAATTTCTGATCCTTTAATCCAACACTTCTTGCAGTACCATATTGCAGAGCAAGCCAAAATTCCAAACCTTTCAAAAAATAAGAAATTATTTTTTTGAATAATCTCAAAAATTTATAAAGGACATTGAAAATAAAAAGCAAAACATGAAAACGACAACTAAATTACCAAATCCGGATGGTATAATGAGATCTAAACCAATGAACGGACTTGTTGTTCCTGTACTTATATTTCGAACTACTAAAAGTATTGGTATCTGCAACAAAACTTAAGACCAAAGTAATACGAAACATAAAGCGCATGAAAATTCGAAGAAATAAAAATTATGAGTGGCTGTCCTCCACTTTTTACATGCTGTAATTTTCATAGTCTAAATAAGTAGCTAGACCTGAAGAATGTTAGTTCAAGGTGGAATAGCACGTCTTAATTGTTCATATAAAATTTAGATTAAGATCTATAAAATACCGAGAGATGCTAATTGTTCAGCGAACATAAAATAGCAAAAAATCTCAGGACGGAAATTACATATGTGCAAAGATTTGCAAAAAAAAACCTTAGCTTCAGATGTTTTTACTGGCTTCAGCTGCGTATTTCGCATTTTTTGCAAGTCCGTTTCAGTCAATTTCTTCTCAAGAGCCTGAAATAAAATGTGGCAGTCTGAACGCCCTTCATATCAAATAATGCTTGAATGCATGCTCCCATAAAATATTTTGCGGCAGCTTTAAAGCAATTCTCATTTAATTTATAACTGCTTATGTTTTTGTAATAATGAGACTATTTCAACCCACTTGTAATGTTCTACTTTCATTTAGCAGAAGATCAATAAAAAGTCAACACTAAATTCGAACTTTTTTCCGAATTTCAAAATTCCAAAAGTCGTTCAGTGGAGATGGCAAACTGTCTATATTTAACGATTTTGCTGAACATCCATTAGTTTCACTTGGCTTTGTTTTTTTCAATGGTCGAGTTAATCTAGGATCTTCCACAAGCAAACTGAAAACAAAACCATCTGGGAGTTCACCGGGACTAAGCTTGCTACATTTATTCCTCCACCAGTGGTTATTTGACCTGAAATTGATAGCGACCTGCATTTTTCATTTTGACCGAAACTTCCTTATCTATTTAATTTTTTACGTTTTGAGCATTAAAATGGAATCATAATTGATCAGTATCTTACCCACCTAGATGTTATACTAGATAAGATGTACAGAATATCTTATATATTCATTATTACTTCCTTTTTCATTGTTTACTACGAACAGTGAGGACTAACATGAATTCTTTCATTCTCGAATCTTCAAGTTCATTTTCTTCGACAACAGCAAGAACTTCACGCACTATATCAAGTGATTTTGGACCATATAATCTGAATCGAATCACCTGATCACTTAAATCCAATAACTGAAAAACAATTTGTTTAATATATTTTTCTATCATAATCTCTAAAATTCTAATAAATATATTAATAAATTTCATGACCAAACAATCAAATAGTAAGACCTAAACGTAGAATTTGATCGTGAAAATCAAGCTTATTATTTTATCTACAGTTATGTGAAAATGAGTAATTTTTGTGACCTAATTTGTCAAGTTCACTAAAAAATAAGAAACGATGCCTTAAAAGTTGCGAATGAAAAAATGTGTCATTACGATCTCCAGCTCTTAAGTATAAGAAACTTAACAACATCAATTTTTCATTAGTGAACTGTTGTGCATATATATGTATAGACAAAGAAAGAGGGAAAGAAAAAATATTGAACGGCACAATCCTAAAATACCGTACCTTTAAACCTTCATCACTTACATAGACATCTGTCTTTATCTCTAAATTACGTAGTCTCCATTCATCAATACTGCGTGGCACTTCGTCTATTCCTATAAGATCTATTGTGTGGTCCTGTTTTCTCAATTTTAGCAGATCGATAAATCTCGATAATATATTTTTACTCGAAGATGGATGTGTCCAGACAGCTAATGTATAATTTTCATCAGTCCTGAAAATATGTGATTTAGAGCTCGAATTTTTTTCAAATTCAACACCAAAATAATCTCGTTCAAATTTGACTTAGCAGTACACTAGTATTAATTAACTGTCCAGCCGGAAAAAACAAACGTAATTTTCCAAAATCCATTGCTTTCTTTTTATTTGGTCCTCTAAAAGTTTGAATTCTTATAAAATCTTTCATGAATGATTTAATAATTGTTTTTAAAAAACAACTGATGAATTTTTTTCAGCACTGAAAAATAAGAAATGAAAAAAGTTTGCTAACACAGGCGTGAAAGGAATTTTGGTATACGAAGTTATTTTTAACAATATTTGGATATAGTTGGGGAATATACTCCAAAATTTACTTGTGTTTACTCCATAAAAATCTAGCAGGTGCAATGAACCCACGCGGATACTTGCTTGGTTCGTATAACATCACTGGCATCTCAAAACGACCATCTAAAGCAGTTTTGAATGCAAATGTTGGGCCAACTTCGGGTGCACAAATGTTACGTAAAAGCTCAATTATTGCTGTTTGACTGCTTCCAATTATCTAAAACACAAAAAAAGAATCACGTAATGCATTCCATATGAAACAGATAATAATAAATTTGTGTAATAAATTTGTTGCTTGCGTTATTATAATTATCAAACTACCAACGATTTTCAAACGTCACACTGATTTAATTATCCGATTTAATTTAGTCCGTTTAAAACTTGATGACTATTCTATCCTGAATGAACTTCACATTCGTCACAGCCAAATATTGGCAAACAAAATAATTGACTGCCTCATTAACAAATAAAAAGTAAACGTCATTTGGATATTACCGCGAGTCAGCTCAGAGAGTTAGTCTAAGATATGCAGCTATTCTATCAAAAGACATACGGTATTCATATCTTAGTCTTCGTTTATACCGATATCACAATCAATAGAATGTGCTGATTTTCTCAAAGAAAAAAGCTCCGAAATTTTGAATTTACCTGAAAACAATGCAAGAAGCTAACGTCTCGAACAACACAATGCCTCATTGCATCACGATGCGAAGGTCGAAAAGCCCGTAGATAACTGCAGAATGGTAAATTATAACCCCATTTTTGGATCATTCGAAAACGTTTTGCATGCCATATATGTGTTTCAAGCCACACATGCTTTCTTTGGCGTCTAATATAATTCTAGAATTCATATTTTAATGAAATTTTGATAGCATAAAAATTTATATATTGAAACAGTTGAGGCCATTAAATGGAAGGAAAATGTAACTGCTTCACTTACTGCTGCATCGATACTATAACGGAACGCATTTATGGAACAAAAATTAACCGACTTTTATGACTATAGCAGATCAAATTTGAATTGATAACCAAAAATCTGTGTTATCTCTTATTAAATTACTGTACCACTGAAATCTCAATCTTTTATTGTCTCTCATTCTTTCAACAACCTAGCTTATATCAATGAGGCTATAGTTAAAAACAAAAATAAAAATTAATATCCAAGATCGCCGAAAAACAACAGCAAATAAATCAATGCATGGGGCAAATTCATCCAACATCTTATAGCCGATATTCTAACTTAAATACATAATAAAAATTACCAAAAGTAGGTTTCTTGGTCGTCTTCTCCAAAAACGACTAGGTGGTTTTTGACGATGTTTCGAAGCTGAAACTGCTGAAATTGCAAAACGGCGTTGCATACGTGGGAAGCGCTTGATGCTATAAGACATTGCACGACGACGCATATGACGCGGCAGACGCTGTATTGCTGTACGTGGTCCCTTAGTCACTTCTCCTGATACTAATACGCGATTATCGACGGCCTAGAAAAAGGAGAGCATTGATTTTCTCTCATCAAACATACAAATATAAGAATCAATCTATCCAATATTTCATACAAAATACCATTTCGTATTCCAATAATGCCGTTTAACTTTTTCCAGGGATAAATTTCAAAAAACCAACCTGAATTAACTCAGCAATTTGTCTCACCCGTTCTTTTACAAAATGTATCACATTAATACCACGTGGTCGCGGGTAACGATCATCTTCACTTTCTTCCATTACTGAAATGATATCCATTAGCGTTCAACATTTATTGTTGAACGCTAATGCTATACATCAGCAAAAACTGTAACAGTTTTTTACTGACAATTATCTTCCCAACGACCTTGAAAATTCTTGAATAATCGAAACTTCCTTATCTACTTAACAGAAGAATTTATTGCGGCAGCTTGATTCGATGAACAAGCTGAGAAAAAGTACTGACAAGAACTTTATGATGGGATGACAGCATACGTATAGTTATTATTAAAATTTATTTTTCGGAAAATTTGATAAGTAATTTCTCTTTTTGACGTGTATACAGTACCAAAAATGTTACATACAAAAACGCATGAAGTCAAACATACGTAAAAATATGTCAATTTATGAAACCGCAACAGATTACGATGAATTTTCACACAGATGTACCAGAAATACGATTCTGACAGAGAGGTAGGTAAATATGTTTCATGTGAAATGTGATAGTCATATACTGTTATAATGCACCTGAATATGAAAAGACGATTACTAAAAATGTGAAAAAATATTGCAAACTTCTGGTGCTTCAAAAATCAAGGGAACTAACTTGAAATCTGAATAAATTCGCCCTAAATTTTACCTAATTTGCTTTTTAACATAATTGATCACTTTATCATTCTACTAATCATTTTGCTCTTTATCCGCCTCCAGAGCTTTTTCCTTTTCTTTGCTGATATTCTTGGCCATCTGTCTCGTCAATAAACGTCCCTGCTTCGACAACTCACGTCGACTTATTGCCATTTTACGGATATTCAATCGCCGCCACTGTATATCCCGTTTTTCTTCGAATAACAACACATCCTGAAACAAAAAAGTTGCAGTCATGTCATTCAAAATTCTGAACAAATTCAGTATCTTGACTTTAAATCGACGAAATCAAACACGAAAATGGATAAAGGAATTTGAACTCTAGAATAGTACCGTAAACAACATTACTATAAAAGTTGGCAAACATTTCAATCTATAAAACTGCTCAAAGACATTAAATAAAATTGACGCTAATCAATGGAATTAAAGATTCATTCAATCAAAAAAAAGAGCAACCCAGGATTTGCCTGACTGCGTTCTTCAATTAAAATGATGCTAACTACTAAAAAGTTATTCTACGCATTAGATATTAGATTATTGATATGGTCTGCTTCCTGAAGCTTCAAGAAATTTGTCCGATTATTATTCTTTAATAGCCTGCTGAAACATTGCCACTTTTATTTACACAACAAAGATTTCATTAGATCGAACCGTTCGGTAACAAATGTCGTGGCAAAAAGCAACAAGTGTTCCACTTTGAACACATTCAGATTCAGCAGTTGAAGTTGCATAAAAAAATTCAGAAAGGAGTTCATACATATGACGATGGTTCTTCGATAATTTCCTTCACTAGTTTTGTCTGTAAATTGATGTCGTCTTCATATTTCTCTTTAATTACACGTTTTTTGGTGATCGGATCGATAATATTACCGTACTTAAACATTACTCGATCAACAATATGTGTCACCAACTTCGCCGGTCGTTTGTTTACATCACATTTTGCGATCAAAATAATGTCACCCAATCCTGAAAATATTTTATTAATTCTTCAGCTGTTCTATCCCTATTCAAACTTCACCAAAACCTAACTTCGATTTCGGATAAATGTCATCAAACTCAATGCACATAACTTGGCACCATTCTTCTTTTTACTATTTATTAGGTCAGCCGCATGAGCATCATTCTACAAACAAATTCTTTCTTACTCGTGACTTTCGTAAAATAAAAATTAGAGTCTTTCTCATACTGTGAACAAATCACCTGTTGCATTTTTCGGATCTAATGCCCATAGATCAATGGGCCGTGAAAAATACTTCTTAATATATTCATCAAAATCGTTCAATCGACATCGAACCTATAAATGACATAATTACATTATTTTTACAACAGATATTTGTGCATAGTGCAATCTTCATATAACGATACATTAGCTAATAATGGATACACCAATTCTTAATGAATGGATTAAGAACTAAAATAATTTCCAGAATTAACTTTAAATTAAAGGTTCCACTTACTTGAACACATGGGATTTTATCATTCCCAATATATGTATGTTTTAATACCTTCCCCAACAACATGTCTAATGTGTTTTTAGATAATTCGGTTTTGTGCTGAAAATAAACTGATATACTAACGAAAACAGTATTATCAATACGTAATTAAGAGAAACATAATTTTTAGTCTGTCATTTTGATTTAAGATTATAATATTGAAATTCCGAAATTTTGACCTGAAACATGAGATGAATACTTTATAACTCTGACAAGGTAACAACATAACTAACATTAATAATGATGATATGTCTGTGATTGCTGAGGAACGATAAATCTTAAGCCAAAAGAAGCCTAGATACTTAAAAGAAATATGACTGTTTCCATAACATCATCCCCAACTAATTCATTCACCAAGTCCAGAAGTTCCATTAACAATAAAAATCATAATGAGGTTTGATCCATGAAATTGCACATCTTAATCAAACTTACACGAGTGGCTGTACAAAGCATACGATCCATCTTCAACAACTGCGTTACAAAATTCATAACTCATTACCTTCTTATTGCCCACTTTCCTCAAATCTGGAACGTTTTGACTTTAAAAAGTTGTAACATTTAACATGAAGCCAAACGAGAGTTCGACTCTTGCCTGATATGCTAATTCTGCAAACTAAGATTAAATTCCTTATCATTAAACATCGACAACATCTCACTCAACGCACAACGTAAAACTTGCACTAATTCACCTTCAAATAAGTCTCAAACATCAGCATGCTTGCATACTTCATCTTTATATATATATATATATATATCATAAACAAACTCAAAATGTCCATCTTCAAAAATTTCATAACATCATCGAATTCCCTCAGCAATAAAGTCCCCAGAAAATTGTTCGCTAAACTAGTACAGGAAGACCAACTATTAACGTAACGGAAGTAAAACAGCTGTGAAATTTAAAAACGTTGGCCTTTAGATTTTATTTAGCAATTTTTCAAATTTTTTAATACACGAAACATGTGCAGGAAGCAAAAAATTATCCAATTTTCACAGGAATTTAGAAATGGCATAACTTCGACCAAAGATTATAATAGGATTGACTCCACACAAAACTATTTTGGAAGCGCTCTATTTTAATTTCTGTAAAAATTCTCTTCACATTTTTAAATCCAAAAGTAATATTTCTACATAAATTAATGGTCTTCAGTAGAATCCTACAACAGTACCGAAGTACCAATCCTATAAATCATATAAATAAAACAGTTCTCTCATTTTTTTTTTAAACGCATAGAAAACAAGTGCGAACGAACATATCAGTTTCAAGCGTTTTACACAAATATGTTCTACGTTAATTATAATTTCCTTTTTTCCTCGAGTTTCTTTTTTGAAGATTTCAGAAATTTCATGAACAGGAAACTTCTTTTCACTCATTTAAATTTATAATTACATTTTCATTGTCTTTTACTCTTTACCTGCATTTACTTACAGATTTTGTGTGCTATAAATTTCTTTAAATATATATGTATATACCCGAATTACGCTTAAACCACTGCAGATTAATGATAATTTAAGAATATATCCAAAGTCCGTAATGGTGATAGTATTAGTATGATGAACAAATATACAGGAATGAAAACACTACACATGGTGTTCGACTACACAAAAACATACAAGCAAATGAAAAAATAGGCGGAAAAGAAGTACGCCAATGGTAATGAGATTCTTGAAAAAGCTAATAAAAAAGAAAAAATAGTGAATCAAAACAGAAGAGACATGATAGAGTATCGTATACAAAAGAAGGTAACATTCATGTTTAAAAACAAAAATTAGTAGAATTTATGCAGGGCAAAACTGGCCAATCACCAAACTAGAATCTAAAGGAATATGTTAAAAAAGTTTAAAAATTTTGTTAACCAATATAGCCTTACTACTACTTCTCTTCCATGCTGATCATTTTATGCTTGAGGATGTTCCCTCTTACGAGGAATTCAAATGCTTCTCGTTATTTACAAATAATTTCGATGGTTGTGGTTGATATAGGAGTGATATATTCTATGAACGGAGGAAATAATAAATGCAAAATTGAAAAAGTGGGAAAAGTTCTGATGCAGAATTGTAATATGAATAAAGCAAATATGCACAGTTTTCCATCAAAATTCACACTAATTCCTTAATCATTTCTGACATGCTCCTAAACTTTATGAGAATCTATCCAATAATTTGCCTGACTGTCATAAAAAAATTAGAATAGCGTAAATCCTTTAATAAATTATAGCTTAAACAGATCATCCAATTACAAAGGGAATATGCAGCAGAAAGCGAAGCGCTGCGCACGATGTCACAAGGAATGAAAAGTAAATTAAAATGATTGTTTCTTTCAGACCATACGTGAATCCATTTCAACGGCACTCCCATACTTTAATCGTCATATCCACACTAGATGTCACCACGTAAGGTAGAGACGAATGGAAATCTAAAACAAGAATATTTTATGTTTGATATATTATTACTTGTTATTCATTACCGACTTTAAATCATTGTTAATGTAAAAATAACCGAACAGCGTAACATGAAATGAAACATAAAGGAGAGTGAAACCATTATAAGTAAAATAACGAAACACATGCTATGAAGTCTAGAAACTGCGTTTGCACAAGTAAGTGAAAGAAAGATTCACTCAATCGGCAGAGATGATTGTTTTCTAAATTCATAAAACAAATTCTCAGAATTTCAGAAAATTCTTCACCACATCAAATTTAAGTAATACAAACCAAGTGAAGTGACGAAGTGTTTGTGAGCATCCAGTGTTTTGGCACAACGTTTCTGCGCAATTGCCCATACACGTAGTGTTTTATCATCAGCAACTGAGAGTAAATATTTACCAGCAGGGTGAAACCGTAATCCACGGACCCAATTATCGTGACCAATCTAAAAGCAGCACCACTCTACTCTAACATTTAAACAAAACGTTTTTGACCAACGGAAAGCCATCGCCAATTTTAAATCAATATGGAAAATTTCTTTCTTAAACGAGCTGTTTAATTCGAAATAAAAATTATGGGAGTTTATGATATTATTACAAGAGGAATCGAGCTCGACTTAGCTTATTTCACAGTCTTGCCAATCGCTTTAGACTTTTGCTAAAATTTAACAAGAAACCACAGTCTTTGTGTGGAGCAGAATTTATACAATATTGTCACCACCACGCTAAAGAAGACCATGAAAGATATTACAGGCTTCATTCGCGCACTAACTACGTTAGTATTCTGACAGTTTCGTAAATTTACCAATAGATAAGAAAATTGCAGCTTGCTTAAACTTCCAAAAAAGTTATGTTGTTGTACGACAGGAGCAGCTAGAGACTTACCAGAGTAAACAAACAACATCCCGCATTAATATCAAAAAATTTGATCGTTTTGTCACGAGAACCAGAGACAAGAATCGGTCCCAATTTCGGTACGATCATACTATCACTTTTCTTTGTATCACCATTCAATTGTGCTAAAAAA